CGGAATACAGCTAAGATACTTACTTTTACATTATTCCCACCAGATCGGAATTACGTCATTCGGCTCCATCCATGGCTGCCAGGTCGGCCTACCCGCCGCCTACGCTCGTGTCACCTCCTTCAATGCATGGATCAGTGCCCGTATGTAAATAATAATATTTCAAAAATAAAAACACATAATCATTTAATTTTTTTTTATTGAAATCTACCCTTCATACTAAGGTTTACTCGTTATGTTTTTATTATTATTATATACATATAAATGCAAAACATGTAAAATGTTGGGAAAGTGCTAAATTCGAAACTATAATACAATGTCATGACTCACGCTATACATAGTGTCGCTAAAAAAGCATATTATTATATTTAATATATGATATAATTATATATATTAGGAAATCGTTAGTGGAATGTTTGAATAATAATGAATAATATGCACTTATATTATTTAGTTTTGTTTTTGTTTTCACTGTCACTGCTCTAATCTATGAAATACTTTTAAGTGGAAAATTTACTAAATTTGAATTGAAACAGAAAACCAAAGTTGTTGCTCTGTAAAGAGAAATTTATTCGTTATGAAATATATCACAAATTACTTTTTCAAGCACAACTTACTTATGCACTTAAGTACAAAATAGTATTATTTACTAACCTGTAAAGAGAAACAACATAAATAATTATTTATTTCTAAGTAACACTGCAATGTATGTTTCTCAAATATTTTAAAAATTAAAATAAAATAAATAAATTAAAATATCCGGAATGGAATCATCGCAGTTGTAGCCGGAGCGTTTTCAGGATTTTTTACTGCCAACAGTCGATTGTCATAAGTGCCTCGGTTATTCGGCAAAGTGCACTGCGAGGAGTCTACAGAGTTTATTGTTCTATTTAACTCTACTAATACATCTTGATACATCTGTAATTTTTTCCCGAGAAAAATAAAAAATCTTTATTCAATGAAATGAAAATTAACTTTATTCAATTAGACTTATACAAGCACTTTTGAATCATCAATGAATTTAAAGACAGTCAGTATAAAGTGTTCATGAGGAAGCTACCACCTGCGCCTGCTACCACGTTTGGAAGACAGTTCTGCTGAGAAGAAGCAGCGAGAAACTCATCAGAGGCTCTTTTGAATAGTGATTAACAGTGTTTATTACATTATTATAAACACATATGTAGCTATCCGGCATATGAGTCAATTTCATACATTTACATATATAAATTATTAAAAATACATATGTATAATGTATATGTCTATACTTAAATACATGAAGGACCTAATCACTTATTTATATATATATATATATATATATATATATATATATATATATATGATATATGATAAAATATATGATAAAATTTAGGCTTTACAAGCTTATTTCTAGTGTTCTAGTGTGTCTACATTGTTTTTAAAATAATTATTTTATTTTAATAAATAATCAATATATTACACAGTATATAATATTGCGATGTAACTCTTAAGAGTTTTTGGAAACACGATTCTCGGGAATCACGAGGGCTCAGATCATAAATAGTCCGAACTGCTCTTTTTTTGTAAAAACAATATCTATGGGTTTTATTAAAGAAATGTTATCATTATTCATCCGTTGAGTAAAACGTTTTTGTGTCTGTGCTATTTTTGTGTTAATATTTTTATTTAAAATCTTTTGCACCTATATACATATATGCTATATTTATACATTTGTGATATGGTCATTAGTCCTGTTACACACTTTTTCTGTTGGAGTAAGATAGTTATAGTGGAAAAGTAGTTTTACGAATTCGGTTAGTTTTATTTGTAAAGCTTTTAGGTTGGTTCTAGCAGATGTTCCCCAAATTTCAATTAGATACTCAAAGTGGGGTTTTATCATTAAATTGTATATAAGATATCTAATAGACTTCGGGTAACAGCGAACGGTGCCTCGAGGTCTTCCTATTGGGGATGATATTTTAGAACATAGCTTATCAATATATGTATGCCCCATGAAAGACGATGGTCTATATATAAGACTAAGTACTTCTCTGAATAAACTCTCGTCAATAGCGAACGAATTATTCATGCATAAAGGCAGATGGTTATCATTTTTTTTGTTTTTTGCGCTAAATATTATATAATTTGTTTTAGTTATATTGATAGTGAGTAAGTTTTCTTGAAACCATTGATTAAGACAATTCAAATCTTATTGTGCTTGATTAATTATGGGTTTAATTTCGCTGCCAAAGTAAAATAAACAGGTATCATCGGCATATAATGTGATATCACCGTTTAAATTTAGGTCATTGATAATATTTATGTAAATAAGGAACAACAGTGGGCCAAGAACTAACCTACCTACTCTGCACTTCGCCAATTTACACTATTTGATATCTATTGAATAGGTAAGAACAAATATAGTAGCTTTTTAAGAAGCAGGTCGTGGCTTATAGTATCAAATGCCTTTTTCAAGTCAATAAAGAGGCCTAGTCCTATTTGTTTTTTGTCTATATTATTCCTTAAGTTTGTGACTAGATCAGTAGAGGCCACAAGAGTATTATATTTAGCACGAAAACCAAACATTGTTAGATAATAGTTAATGCTTTCTAAATATGTATAAAGCCGATTTATAAATGACTTTTTCATAGAGAGTATAAGGAGAACTAAGATCGGGCGGCAGTTTTCAATGTCTGTTTTAGAACCTGCCTCATAAACTTTAGCGAATTTTGGGGAATCTGGAAAATAACCATGTTGTAAGCAGTGATTAAAAGTGATTAAAAGTTTCACTGGAGCTTAGAATTTATCATGCTTAAAAATGCTGATTCAATTATTTCGAGTGATTCATTATTCAGAACCAGACTAAAATTTGCCTTTTATACGTTTGGCAATGTAAATTCAACACATTGTGTTATTTTGGTATTTAATACTAAATTATTCTCTTTAAACCAACCTACAACGTCACAAACTCACAAACTTTGCCTCTGTATAATATTAGTATAGATAGATATTCTGATCTTAGAGCACTTAATTATAAATACCAGTTTAACAATAACGTTTGAAACTCTACCCGAATTGTTGACATTTGTGATTACTGCTCTGCTCCCTTGTGTGATGACGATATATAATACCTATAATGTAGCCTATAGCCTTCCTCAATAAATGGGCTATCTAATGCACAATGAATTTTTCAAATCGGATTTTTTGAGATTAGAGCGTTTAAACAAACAAGCTCTATTTATAATATTACTATAGATATAGATTCCAGCTTCAAAGTCATCAAAGTTACTCGATAGAGGCAGGTATACGCAATAAAAATATATATTATAAAAATAAAAAACCCGACTGAACGTCGGGTAGTAGTAGTAGTCGGATAGTAGATATACGCGTTTCACCCTCGCCGCAAGATGTATGCACAAACAGTGCATGACTCCGACTGCATAATACTTTATTCCTTCGTAAACATGTTTTTATATTTTTAGTTAGCTTTTATGCAGTCGGTTTTTTTTATTTGTATAATATATTTTTTTATTTATATCTTTTTAGTTTTTGCCAATAATTTGACATTTGAAGTTATATTTAGTAATTTTTTATCCTAAACTACGTTTGAACATATAAGTTGTATATAATTTTGTGATTGCTTCTTTAAAAGCTTTATAATGATACCCCATTTGATTGTTATGGAAGAAATTTTTTAAAGACACACGAATTGGCGCCTCAAAAGCCGCCATTTCAATTTCCAACTATTTTATATAACCTATGCATATGCCTATCACACCAATGGTTCTCCTTCCCGTCACGTTTTATACCTTAAAATATTTTTTATCCTAGGTGGGATTTCCGTGCCGCCATATTGAAAGTTATCCACTGTAATAATAGCTACTATTTGCAATCCCGGGGGAGAAGCCAACTCCTACCGGGCGCGTCCCCAGGTGGCGGATAGGGGAATGCCACCCGCTTAGGGCGGCGGGTGGTACCGGAGAAATCCGGCGCGGACCAAATGGCTTGGATGGGGCCGCTCGTCTAGGCCTCGAGCCGAAGACGTTGCGGCCACCGGTGGTGGGACCGCTTGGTCCCACAACCGGATGATGGGTGCCGGTTGCGGGACTGTGGTCGCAGGCCCGCATTCGGCGGAGGGGTAGGCCGCGGCGGGAGAGGAGTGCCGGTATTTCGGTGCGCCGTTCTCCCTACCTTCCGCGGCCTAGACGGGGCCGCCACCGTTTGATGGCGGACGCGGTGGGGCTGCAGGGGAAGAGGAGTGTCGGTGTTTCGTTGCCGCTCTCCCTGTCCTCTGCAGCCGATTGGAGGTGGCCCACTTCGGTGGGTGGAGTTTCGGTTTAATGGGGCTGCTCCGGGTACCTCTCTGGTGTAGCAGAGTTGACTGTGGAGCAGCCCCATCGGTATGGTGGTCAGCTGTTGGCAGACCTGCCGCCGGGACGCCGTAGTAGTTATGCGCAAGCGATCCTGCGGCGTCCCATTAAGGCGGAGGGGAGGGGAATGTCGGGTTTTAGTGGGTAGTGCCGGCTCTTCTAGCCGGTGAGCCCCACATCACCACCTGGGGGATCAGGTGGTATGCGTAAATGCATTTCCCGACATAAAAAAAAAAAAAGCTACTATTTGCAATGACTTTAACGCGTGGGCAGTAAAAAAAATTAAGTTTGAGCCCAACCCACAAGGGGAAAGTTGCATTATCTTTTGATTTGAGTTTTTTCTTTCTCAATCTTATGAGCTCGAAAATCCTCTTACTAAGGCCATATGCATTGCTATTAACTTTTGCCATCCTCTTCAGTACTCCCCACTCCCCTCGTTGCGAATTGAAATGCCTCATGCTTTTTTACAATTTTATTTTATGAATATTTTTATACTTCCTTTTTTAAAAAATGATCATTCATTTATGCAGTCATTTTGATTTTTTTACATACATTATTTATAATTATAGAAAACAACCATATTAAAGATATAGAGGAGATATGAATAAAACGAAATGATTTAATTATGTTTTTTTATTTAAAAATAAATAGCGCTTAAAGACGAGCCTGAATCCATGCATTAAAGGAGGTGACACGTGCGAAACCGGCGGGCATACCAGCCTGGCATCCACGTTGAGCGACGAATGACGTAATTCCAATCTGGTGAGTGTAATAAAAAAATTAATGCAAGTCCGAGCCACATTTAGGACATGGCGGCCAACCTCACAAGTGTGACAAGCACTGTACTTAGAGGAAGTTCAGTAGAATGATAAACGATTTTACATCTTATCGAGGGCGTCGCATATAGCTCGGCTGCTGTTACTGAGACTTTTTGGACAGAAAACTCAACGGCTATTTTTGATCTGAACCCGGGATTTGAACCCAGAAACAAATATCTAAACAACTAATGCAACACTACAACTTCTAGTTCATTCATTTGTACCAATGAAACAATTGGCACAGTTTACCAACACAAGTATGTATCTACAATACAGAAACTTCTTGCACATTATTTAATAATAAAAATTATTTATTATTAAAACAACTGTGAGCTATACCATAAGAATTTAACTAAGCATACATTTTTGTAAATTTGAAATCGCGTCAACCAGTAATTATTATCAATCCCTAATACTAAATTCAAATAAACACTTATTTTTATGACAGGCGTTAAAAATAAGAAATAAAAAAAAAATTACCAATTGTCCGCCTGCTATGAGAGAGCCGCCCGAGTCACCTCGGCAGACGTTGCGGTCGCTAGCACTGCTGGTGCAAATGGTGGACGCAATGATATTATTAGTGCCATAAACGCGCGCGCAATCTGCATTCGAGATCACTTGGAGAGTCACATGGCGTAGTTGACCACTGCTACCACCAGCTAGAAATTTTGAGTACCACGTTATTAAGATTCATATTTAAAACGGGACAAATATTTGTATTTCGAATAGAAATAATTTTGAACTTACAATCAGCAGTCAATCCGTAACCGGCAGCGACCGCATTCACTCCAACGAAGGCGTTGGTACCAGAAGCCAGAGCGATGTTGCGGATATTGTCTGAAATCCACAATTACATTTAAAGTTTCATTTTAAAAGATTATGTCACAGTTTACTCGTATTTACTTTTAAGCTCTTTAATTAACTACCTCGGTGGTGTAGAGGCTAACATGTACGGTTGCATACCCGGAGGTCGTGGGTTCGAGTCCAGGGTCGAGCCAAGTTTAGTTATTGAGTCTTTCTGTATAGTAAGTCTCAATAATAGACCGGAGTTGGGAAGTTGGCGGTGTTTCACCCCCGTGCTTCGGAGAGCACGTAAAGCCGTCGGTCCTGCGCCTTATCTCTCACTGGTCCTGTCGAGTGGTCGTCCCACCGGAGTATGAGAGTGACTGGAATAGAGAGTGTACTTATGTTTGCGCGAACACTTGTGTATAATATCTCCTGCGCAGTTGGCTAGTCTCGCCGTGGCCGGAATCGGTCAGGAGAACATCATCACTTTCAAGCAAAACGAAACATATTTCTATGTAAGTACTAACATATTCGGCACTCATTTGTAAAGTATTATACAATTGAATTTCCGTCAAGGGAAGACTGGACTAAAAGCCAGGTAATCCATAAAAACGGATCTCTCATCTGGTTTACAGATGGCTCAAAAATAGAAGCAAAGGCTGGCTGTGGGATATATGGAGAGCGACCGAGGTTTAGCAAAAGCATACACCTCGGACAATTTGCCTCTATTTTCCAAGCAGAAGTCTATGCCATTCTAGAATGTGTAGAAGCTAATTTGTCTAAGCACTACACAAATCAAACTATCTATATAAATTCAGATAGTCAAGCTGCACTACTAGCGCTGGACTCAAACATAGTCTCATCAAAGTTAGTGGAGCAGTGCATGGACCGACTAAACCTCTTAGCAAGTAGTAACAAAGTAGTGTTAAGATGGGTACCGGGTCATGCAGGTGTAATTGGCAACGAGTGTGCCGATAAGCTCGCTAGAGGGGGAGCTCTTGGCATACAGCAGGGCCCTGAGCCCTTCTGTGGGATACCTAAGAGCCTAGTTCAAAGAACCCTAATGATAGCATGTCTTAAGACTGCGAACAAGACCTGGACTGAATCAAATGGAATGAATCACTCCAAGGCATTAATTAGAGCCTACGACAAAAGGTTTAACAATCTTATGCTAGGGCTAAACAGAAAAACCTTACGAATACTGGTAAGGGCCTTTACTGGACACTGCTGCTTAAATAAGCACATGTTCAACCTGGGGCTGAGCGAAACGCGAACCTGCAGAATTTGCAGGGAGGCAGACGAAACGCCACTGCATCTTCTGTGGGAATGTGGACCGCTCATGCACAAACGTAGTATTCATCTAGGTAAACAATTTCCAAGCCTAGATGAAATAAAAGAGTGCAACCCTAAGAAAATCCTGCAGTTCTTAACATCAGCAGGGTTTAGTGGTTCACTCTAGTACAAAATAGCGGCGATCACAATAGACCAGAAATGGTCGCAGTGATATAAAAAAAGCCGCCAAACAGAAATAAAAAAAAAAAATATATGTTTGCGCGAACACTTGTGTATAATATCTCCTGCGCAGTTGGCTAGTCTCGCCGTGGCCGGAATCGGTCAGGAGAACATCATCACTTTCAAGCAAAACGAAACATATTTCTATGTAAGTACTAACATAAACGAATAAAGAAATTTAGTGACCCGCATTTAAAAAAAATGTAGTTATAAGAAATTTTTATTTAATTTTTCAATTAGACCGACTTCGCTCATAACGAGCAATCTCAGTGAGACTAGCCAACTTCGCAACACAACGACGATACTTCGAAACAACCGGTCAGAGTTAAGGCGCAGGACCATCGGCTTTACGTGGCCTTACGTAATTAAATTAAAATTTTATACAAAATACTTACTGTTGTAATTAAGCCATGGGATAATAATTATGGCAACATCATTGTTCAAATTATCCATATTGTAGTTAGCATGCATTTGAACGTTAGATGAAGTGACACGAGTTCCTCCTGAGAAGAGAGTTGTTGATGCAAACACAACTACTAAGGATCTGCCCTGAATAGCTCGGGTCGCCCAGCAGTGAGCGGCGGTGACGAGGCGGGTGTTGGTGATGAGAGACGATCCGCAAGTTGACTGGCGACCATCTGTGAGTGTAACAACTAGACCACCCTAATAGAGAAAATATTAAAGATCATTAATTTACCAGCTGACCCAAAAGACTTTTCAGTGTATACAAAATATAGTTTTCCGAAATTTTTTCCTTTTTTACAAGCTTTTATTTAACTTGCCGTCTTATTGATATATTAGTTTGGGTCAAATCTTGCAACTGAATTTTAAAACAGTTATCCTGAACCGATTGAGTTGAAATTTCGCAAACACGTTTAGCATGGATGACAATTCATGGTTAGCTATGTGACGTCATTTTAAATCTAATATGGCGGAATACATTTTTTTATGCACCCCCATGTTATGGATATCGAATGAAAGGGTTTGCTGAGAAGAAGACGAGTAAAATAAGAACTAAAAAATAAATTTTAAATAAAAGCTTGTTTTTAGAAATGTTTTTATACTATAAATTTTTAAGCATCTTTCCAGTTACGAACATTGATATAAAAAAGTGAATAAGTATACATAAATGTACTAAAATATAATAATAAATATACTTCATTATTTAATAAATAATAATTTGCTATCTCAAGTGGGAACCTAAATTTATTTTATTTATTACTTTGATATTATTTATACTCTTGTAATATACCCTTTCAATTTTCACACTATAACAAGACGAATCTCAATGATGATATCTATATAGTTCATCAAAATCGCCACAGCCGTTCAGTAATTACGTTGGAACACAGATAGTACCGAAAATCCTACTTTGGGCATTGCCATTTTCGGATGTAAATAATACAATAAATTAACATCCGTAAAGGAATATACTTACAACAGATTATTTTTTAAAAACATATTAAAATTAATAAAAAAGCTTCTGTTACGAGTAATTACCAAGTGTGGGTGGTTTCCAACGTTCGACGGTGATCCTCCTATGATCCTGCCGCCATCGAAATCCTGAGCCATCTCGGCTTGCCTGATCCGTTCAGCCAATGGAATACCCACTTTGTTGTGGTAGTCCAACTCTATTGGCTCGAAGGGAACCCCGGCGTTGGCCACGGCCAGACTGACAAGGAGGAGGAACAGCTTCATTTTGCTTTGAATTGAAAACAGACTGAAGCGTAACAGTATTTATAGTAAATTAGTTCTGTACTTATGTACTTAGGCATTACAGTGTGATTAAGGAAACGAATTGCACTAAACCAGATAAGATAAATGGATTAAAAGTGCTTTGGTTTTCCAAACCGCCTTTAATCGCCCATTGAGATTTCTATTAGTAGAAAATTCTCAAAGGATTTCGTTTCATCATACTCGTGATAGAATTATATATCTGGTTTGAATCAGATGCATTAATATTTACATACTTTGGAATCGTCTATTTAATTTAAAGAGAGTCCGTACAATAACCAGCTAATCCCGAAAGCCGGAAAGAAGGAAGTTTTGCTGCCGACAGCTTACATATGAGTCAATTATGTAATAATTATTACATATCTAGATGAAAAAACAATTAAATGCTTTACTCAGCAACATATTTTAATTTTAGCTTTAAATTGTTGAAAAGGTTAATCTAAAATATTTTGTGGAATTTTATACTTCACATGTCTTTCGGGAATTTGCTTAATTTTTTAGGAAAGGTTTTTTAACTCACGACGTTTTTTTACCTTAATTAAAAGGAATACCTGTTTTTAGGGGATATATTAATAAAACGTAATTACCAAATAACTTTTTTTGATTTAACATTTTTTTTATTATTATTATTTACAGAGATACGAAGACTTTGTTTATATCTAGGTGTTCTACTCACATGTACTTATCTTTTACAATAGTAATTTTCCTAACATTATAAATTAACATTAGTAAAATTGTACATGCAATAACAACCTTCAGTTGTTAATATTGTAATTTTATATAATTTTCTTTGCTTTAAATAACTTAAATCATGTAACATAATCATCCTAACTTAATCATAGAGTATGCATATGGGAAGAAGCGGGCCATTCCCAACACAAGTATCCTTCGGATTACTTACTGGGAAGACTCGAACAAAAATGTTAAAAAATGATTAAGAAATAAAAACTATTTTTATTTTATTTTTATTATTTTTTTATATGCATAGTCCATTGAAATAGTGGGAGGACATAACAAGATCGGAGAAAGAACAGGTGCAAAGCAGACGGTTTTACATCTTACGAAAGGCGTGACGGATCAGCTCAACAACTAATTTATTAGATCTGGGACTCGAACTCAGAAAATGACGAGGTACTGAGTTTCTTAGACTATAGTGTATACAACTTCTATTCCACTAAGGACACCGAAACAATTACCACAGCTCACCAGGGCATTATCTATAATATGGAAATCAATTTTGTTCTTTATATTTTAATAAATAAAATGTTTTTAATTTGATACCTTCAGATCTTCCATAAAAAAATATCTTAACTTAAAATTTTGCAGATTTGTGGCCGCGTTAACAGTGGAGTACTAATTGTTACAGATTAGGAGTCACGTACTCATATCAAAGTCTATAACAGACGTTAAAAATGTAGTGCAAAACGAAACATTACTAATATAAACGTGCGCGCGTTCAGCATTCGAGATCACTTGGAGAGTAGTATGACGTAACCGACCAGTGCTTCCTTTACTGGAAAATGTGATATCTAAGTATTTAAACTTTGTATTTAAAATGACCCAAATATGTACAGAACAGCCCAGGTCGCGCCCAGTCTCGATGTTATCGAAGTCATTTTCGTAGTCCACAAACGCTAGGCATAGAGGCTAGTTATATTGTTCCGTCATCTGTATTATTTTCCTAAGTGTGTATGTATACAATGTACATTTATATTAACCATAAAAAAATGCCGAATAAATCAGTAAATAGTAGTAAGTAGTAGCCGGAGGCGACCGCATTCTGTCCAACGAAATCGTTGTTGCCAGAAGGTAGAGCAATATTGCGAATATTGTCTAAAAACTACAGTATCCTTAAAATACTAATATTGTAAAAATCATATTACCTTTTAGAGAACCAATTTTCTGTTTATGCAAAAGAAAATGTAATCGTAATATATATCGTGTAAATGAAAAAAAAGTATTTTATATGTTGACCCGGATTACTAGCTATCAACATGCCAAATTTCATCAAAATCCCTCCAGTGTTTTTTCCGTAATACGGTAACAGAGAGATAGACAAAAATTCTAAAAACTATAGATTCTGCCTCTGTACCAATAAGATTTTCCAGAACATATTGGATGTACAGATTCGGCTTGGCTACAATTTTATTATATGTATAGATATACATAGGTAAAAAATAAACAATTCTGAACTTATCGATATTCCAGCTGTATTTTTGGGTTTTTCCTGTTTTTTTATACTTAAGACACCCCTAACCACCAACAAAACATAAAAAGAATTATTCAAATTAGTCCAGCCGTTTTTGCGAGACTAACATACGGCAATTGATTTTTTATATGTAAATTAGTATATAAGAAAATTTATACTTATTCTTTATTAAAGTGTTTACTATAATATTAATATTCAATCTGTAGACGACAACATTCCGTTCCATAAAACATCCATATTTTAATATGATAAATGTGAAAGTTTGTGAGTATGGTTGTTTGTTACTCTTTCACGCCAGAGCAAATATAGATTATAGTCTGAAATAACACAGGCTACTTTTTATCCCGGAAAAATGTACGTAAAGCTCCCGTGGGATATATTGTTTTTTTTTTTCTAAAGGCGAAACTGAGTGAAGTGAGGGTGATCCGCTACGCTAGTTCTATAATATTTTTTACAGTACTATCTCACATTTGTCTCGAATAAAGAAGGGAAAATTATTTCTATAAATGAAGTAGATGTATGGCCCAGGAATAGACCCTTGTGGAAGCCCTATGTCTAATAGGATCATTGGGGATCTTTTGCCATTACATCAATCTTGTCTATTCTATTATACGTACTCGTATAAGAAATCAGGTGGTCGAGTGTTTTATTTGTAACGTCATGGTGATGCAGTGTTCTGGTGAAATTGATGTGTGTATGAATCAAACGCCACACAGATAAGTCACAAAATATTTGAATTTCCTCCTGTGATTTTTCTAAACCTCCAATATATTTTTAGCTCAACACTAACGACTGCTTTGGAGGGCCCCAATGTTTTTGATGTTTGAGTACGAAATAAAAGTAAAAAATATTTTTTTAAAATGTTTTATACTATGTTTGTAGCATTAATAATAAATTTCATTGCGTAATTGTTTTAGTAATAAATAGCATCAATATAGCAAATATTCGTGAATGATAGACGCTGAAACACAAGAAAGATTAGTATCATGCTCCTCAAGTCATCACTGATAGATGATAATATACATAAGATTCAAAAATATTGCAGAAAACAATAATTAATCAAGTGCAGACATAAATACTTAAAAGCAGATAATTACAGTATAATAGCATCTCATTCATCATTTTATAAAGATAAAATTGATTTATTTGAAAAAATAAAGGCTAAATATTATGAAGCAATATTTTTAATAATATAAATTAAAACTGACATGCCCATAAATTACCGGGTTTTTTTAATTTAATTTTTTTAGAAATAAATAATTAATAAAACAGACGCGAGATAAAGGTATTTCCGAGAAAATAAATTAAGAATTTAGGTTGTTTAAGAATGTAAATGAAATGGTCCTATCGAGAAAACCTATCGAGGTTTTATCACACATATATATTTTTTTTAATTACATGTTATGTACAGTTTAAAAAACAATGTAAATGGCATAACGGAATTCAAAATATACATTAAGATAAAGAATTAAGTTGTATTAAAAAATAATAGTCGATAAATATTTGGCGGCCCGACATCAAAGTAGTAGAAGTGTTCCGTCGGTTATTTTGTTATTTTTTTTATTTATTCCATTTTAGTGTTCCCCAGACATATTGAAATACTATAGAATTGATACTCTTGACTCCAGAATTGAAAAAAATGTCAGAAATAAAGCAAAGATTTTTGTCAAGAAGGTCCCATTTGTAAAAATCAATAAGTTGCTTTATCATTTTAGTCAAAGTCAACTCAAGTTGTATTTGCACAAAATGTACTTGAATTAGCTGAACTTGCTTTGAGCATTTATCGTTGCCTTTAACATAAATCGGAATCGTAGTTTTTGTTGAAACTACTGAAACTAAATTTTCATTAGAAATTTAAAAAAAAAGTATTTATATTGCGCCATTTCACCTGAAGTGGACAACGAAAAAAGTGAGATTCTGAAATTCGTTCATATTAGTAATATTTGTATTTATAGGGGATATGAACATGTACACATAATATTTTTTTTTATTTGAGGTTTAGTTGTCAAATAGGATTCTAAAGAATTGACCTGATTGACGGAAAGGTTATTTTGGATTTTTTTTTGAAGGTTGCATCGCAAAGTGTCACGTTTTCGAGATTTTCGAAATAAATATTCCATGATATTAACACAAATGTGTTAATATTTAATATTTATTTCTCATTGTTTTCATTTGGTGATGTTTACCTTCAAAATATTATACTTTGTGAAGTGTTCAGATTAGGTTATGCTCAAACTTTTTTTTATTTATCTATATATAACTATTTTTTATTTAATTATAGATACTATTTATATTCACTTGCTTTATTGTGCGTCGCAAAATGCCATATTATTATAATGCCATAAAAATTTTATCCTCTTTATGGAGGACCTTTGATTTAGATTACATTTTAATAATAGGCAGTAAATTTTATCGACAGTGTTTATTCCTAGAACTATACCAGATAGTAATCAGTTCGATATATAATATTGATTATCTAGTTGAACCTGAACTTCCGTATCAAGTATCTAGTTTATATGTACATTTCACGATTCGTGTGTACATTTGAATATCAGACATGATTTTGCTATTAATGGTAAATGGTAAGATAAGTAAGATGCAAGTATAATGTTAGTTTGTGTAATACTTTTTTAGATTGACTTGAGTATTTGACATTTTAACTTTACAGTAATAATAATGTCCTCCAGATCGATTCCGGCCACGGCGGCCAATCTCATTGAGACTAGCCAACTGCGCAGAAGATATTATAGTGCACAAGTGTACGCGCAGACACAACGTGCACTCTCTATTCCTGTCACTCTCATACTCCGGTGGGATGACACAAGACACGACCGGTGAGAGATAAGGCGCAGGACCGACAGCTTTACGTGCTCTCCTATTAAAGGGGGGTGCCAAACACCGCTTACTTCCCATCTCCAGGCTGTTACTGAAACTTACTATACAGAAAAACTCAATAACTAAACTTGGCTCGACCCGGGACTCGAACCCAGTGTAGTTTGTATGTGTGTAAGTCTCTCCGATACCTATATATTGTATGACCTGTTAATATTTAGGAGTATTAAACGAACCTTGGCGCCAAACATCTACAGTCAACAATCAAACCACTACACCACTGAGGCAGTTTTTACAACTTTTGCAACTTTACAGTAATCATGGTCACGGGAGAGACTCTCCCCAAATTACGTATATCATAATAAATCCACGAAAAAAAACCGAAAAGATATTTTTAAATTTAATTTGTATTAGAAGGTTGCTTCTAACATTATTGTGCTGTACAAAATAACTAGAAAAATAAAATATCGAAAAAAATATAATCTTACAATAATTAGAACTAGCTTTTCGGATTTTTGCGCGGATTCATTTTGATTTTTGTTTCCCGACGTGTCGAATGCTTTACATCGCACATGGTCACGGAAGAGACTAAGGTTGTAGGTATATCGAAGGATAGCTATTGGTATAGTTGTTACAGACAGTGCCTGCCCACAAAACTACAAAATGATTTCCAAAAATACATTCAAAAAATATTCGAGTAAGAAAGTGGTACAATTAGATTTAGTTTCTTCCATTGAAATAATTCAAGATACGAGTATGTCTGCTACGTCAACATAATATAATAGAACCCTGCGATTGTGATCTATTTGATAAAAATCATCCATTTGTATAGTTTTATTTTTTTCGGACGCTTAAATTCTCATTAAATGTATAATATCTTTATCATATCTGGTGTATTTAATGTATTTAGACAGTGATCCGTCGTACATCAAAATTTTTATCGCATGTTATCTGTACGTGAAGTCTCAATTACACGGAAAAAAGAAACTTTTACAATTGATAGTTTTTTAACAAACGTTGAAAGAACGTAAGTTGGCGAGGAATTTTTGGAACTTTATTGGGATTTATGCGAATATTTGACATTATAAATCTTCTCAGGTTTTTCGATTGCTTTACCTAAAGTCACAGAAGAGACTAAGGTTTGAGAGGTCTCAAAAGTTATATGTTTAGTTGTTACAGATGGCATCATAGAGAATAGTTAGGAAATGTATATTACAAAAGTTATGGAACCGCAAAAACTATTTCTTCTTGAGTACATAATTAAATTAAAGTCCTCCGCGTTATGTTCATATTTGTTCCGGCTTATCTCAAAAACTAATTTTCGGATTTTCATATGGTTTTCACCGACAAAAAAAGTGTTATCGTGAAAGATTATAGGCTATAATTTGTATTGCAAACGTTTTACGAATAAGCTACGTAGTGAATTAAGTCAGATAAAATCGACATTTCCGAGAGTTTCAGTTTTATAAATGCATATTTCATCTAGGAAAAAGAGTAATTAATAGCCTATATTATCATTTGCAATTATTCCCGGTACTTGTAGAACGTGGGAGCATCTTGGTGGTTGTTATCTGCCTCAGTAGGAAGTGTTTAAGTGAACCTGCGGCGGCCTCATTAAGACGAGGAAGGTTTCGTTTGGTTTTAATCCGAAGTACATATTCAATTATCTAGCCGATTACCATCACCTCCCTCGTCTTAATGGGATGTGCAGGCTCACTAAAGCATTCCAGCACTAAGCCAAGACGGCTTGTCTACCGAAACAGATAAAAAAAAGGTTGCTGCCACAGTCCTCGTTGCTATCAGAGAAGTACCAGGAGCAACTCGCATGGAACACCGCCCACCTGGATGGGCCACCGCCACCTCTCAGTGTGTCTCTTAGTTTCACACCGGCCACCAGACAAGGCGAACACACATTGGGCGGAATATAACAGTCCTTGTCCAATTGAAAATACTTATCTATCGTACACTTGAAAATTTGACGTAATTCATGCATAATCTAATTTATATAATCATTTAGATAAAAGACAAAAATATAATCTGTTCTTTAATTCATAATTAATCGGCGTAAAAACCCTGACACACATTTTTAAAATAATAATATTATTTATCAAACAAAATTTATTAAAAGCTTTCGTGAGACATAACGCCAAACTTTCGTCTTGAAAAGGTAAAGTCGTAGATATTTTATGGAATAAGACCGTGTACATCCCTCCCAATGTGCGTTCACCTTGTCGTGGTTGAGGGGTTCATTAGCGTCCGGCAATGCAGCCGAGTGCGAAGCCAAGCAATGCACTGAAGCTTTTTTATAAGCTTTTATTTAACTTGCAATGTTTGTATGTATGTTTGTTCGGGTCAAATCTTGCAACTGAATTTTACTACTCAACTGATTGACCTGAAATTTTGCAAACACGTTTAGTTTGGATGACAACGCATGGTTAGAGAAGTGACGCCATTTTATACCCAACATGGCGGATTCCCAACGACGGCGGACGTTTTTTTATGCACCCCCATGATATGGATATCAAATGAAAGGGTTTGCTGAAAAGTATACCAATGAATACATAAAAAATAAACTAACTTAAATTAAATCAAACGAATTTATTACACTACACAATTTATGTGATATAAAAGCTTGTTATTGGAAATGTTTTTTTTATATTAATTTTTTTTTATTTAAAAATACATCATAACAGTATATATTTTTTGCAAAATGTTTAAAAGTTATAGCCTATAACTAGATAATACCTTTATCTATTGATATAAACCTTATCAAAAACCGTACAGTAGTTTCTGAGATTAGCCCGAATCAAGTCAAATTCAAATATGTAGTGATTGATAATTTCTAATATCTAAAGTAAGCGGAAAATAATTGGACGAATGTTTAACCCCGCAAGAAGGCCATGTTTTCGACTTTTGTCGCGATTTTAGGAGTTATTTTTAGACTAAGGTTTTAGATATAGTTATTATAAAGAACTTGCTACAGACAGTACGTAACTACCTACCCACAAACTTACTTAAAATATCAAAATCTCGCGTAAATCTAAGAATAAGTACTTTTGGTAGAAGACATCTGTAGTATATCTGTAAACTGTAGAATTAGTACTTTTGGCACAAAAACAAAAATTGTTATATAAAGGTCTCCGACCAAATGTTGGAGGAAACATCTGCATAAAAAAACCTTCTTCTCTTATTATAAGAGAGATTAGTATGGAATACTATTATTCTATATAGTCTATCTATCTACGTATATATTAGGTATATTATATGGAACCGTTCATCAAACACGTCACGCTAAAATCAGCTTTATTTGAGGGATGACCACCCGGGGTTAAAAACTATCCTATGTCCTCCCCAAGGTCTCAAACTATCTTCATACCAAATTTCGTCTAAATCGGTTCTGCGGATTAAGCGTGAAAAGGTAACAGACAGACAGACAGAGTAACTTTCGCGTTTATATGTTAGTATGGATTATTAATATTAATCAAATACGTAATACCAGTTCAATGCTACATAAAATAACGGCTGCCGATAAGATAAAGATTTGTAGATTAGTTTATAAATAAAATATTATTAAAAATATGAGTTTTTTAATAAAAAAATGGTCGGCGTCGGACTCGTCTGATGTAGGATTCCGTATCAGAAAAATTCACGAAAAAAAACTATTCCATACTATTCCAATAAATTATAATTAAATATTCCAAGCGTAAAACGTAGGGACGAACCTGAGCGAGGTTGAGGTGAGGTTCGTCCCACGTCAACTCACGTCGCTAGTTTGAAATAAAATTATTTTTCGAATTGTTTTGTTGTTTTGTTGACCTACGGTCGAAGTTCGATCGTAATCATTGTTAAAAATTTGAGGAAAACATATATGAATAGAATTTACCTATCTATAAAGAAACTTGGAAAATTGTTAAATTTTTTTTTTTGATAACACTAAAACTTGTCAATAGGTACTAAACAAAAAAAGCTCGCTCTTAAGTTAAGGGATTGTAGGTCGTCGTTGTCATAGAGATAATGTCATTAATAGTTTTTACGAATTATAAACCTCTTTCATTTGCATTCGATAAATTAGGTACAAATGGGGAGTCATCACGGCGAGCTAGGCAAATTATGTTTATTTGTGAATTTAGTACATACAGATATACAGCATAATAGTGGTATTGATAATATTGTAGATTCATTGACTAGAATTGAAAGAATAACATGTCCCATGACGATCAATTTGGTTGATCTAGCAGTTGCGCAGGAAACGGACGAACAGCTTGCGAAACTAATCTAATGATAAACATGTTGTTTGCGAAATGTTGAAAGAAAGGCGATACCCATACTTACCTAAAATGTATCATCATTTAGATTTTGCAGCAGTACATAATTTAATTCATCCAGGTATAAGAGCAAGTAGAAAATTAGTTGCTGATAGACATTTTTGGCCTGGAATTAATAAAGATGCTAGAAACAGCTAAAACTTGTGTAAATTGTCAAAAGTCGAAAATTCAAAATCGTACTGTATCGGATTTGCAAAATTTTTAAGTTTCGTTTCAAGCACATTCACATTGATATAGTAGGACCTTTGACAATTTCAACTGAAGCTATAAATATTGCTTAAGAATTATATATAGATCGATTTATTCGATGGCCAGAAGCTTTTCCGTTAAACGATATTTCAGCAGAAACCATCGCAAAAACCTTACATGAGAGATGGATTGGTCGTTTTGGTTGTCCAAACAAGCTCACTAGTGACCAGGTTAGACAATTTGAAAGAAATTTATTTAAAGAACTTGTGTTATTAATGGGTTTTAAAAAATTGCACACAACCCCGTACCATTCTCAGAGCAATGGAACCGTAGAACCCTGGTATAGATCATTGAAAAGAAGCCTCATGGCACGTCTAAATTTTAATAAATCTTGGATAGACGAATTGGCAACGGTAATGTTAGGATTACGCACAACAATTAGATTAGATACAGACGTCACCGCAGCACAAATATTGTATGGCAGTAACATTAGACTACCAAGCGATTTCTTTGACTTCAGTAGCAATAAGCGATAATGACAATTATGATAATAAATTAAAAAACGTTATTGAAAGTCACAAACCAATCACTAGAAATAATATTAATTAGTAACTCATTGGCTATAATAATAATTTTTGTGTATAAAGATTTAAATCACTGCGAATATGTATTTTTTTTAAATCACGCTGTACAGAAGCCGCTACAATGCGTCATCAGTTATAGGAATATTAAAGTATTTTGCATACAATTGCCTAATAGACAGTTACAAGTCTCAACTGATCACCTAAAACTAGTATATTATATATGTAGTTCAAGAAGACGAGCTAAAGCTTAAAGTAATATGTAATAATAAAAACGAAGTTTGTCATAGAGTTAATAAAAAAGTCACATTTAAAAAAGCCAAGTAAATATAATTTGTAACGCTGACATTGTAATTTTGATTAGATATATAAAAATAATAATTTAGGACATCAGTAATGAATACATAAGCAATTCACAATTGATTTTTCGTAAGAATAAAATATAATAAATAAAAATATGTTGGGACATTAACACATAGCACATTCGTGCTCATCACACAAATTAATGCCCTCAGCCGGACTCGAACCCACGACCGCTGGCAGAGTCTATATGGGAACGTATCACAAGAAAACCACTGGACTAATTTTGATGAGAATTGGTATGATGATAGCTGGTTATCCGGGTTAATATATAGGATACTTTGTATTACGAGAAAATATCTCATCTCTAAGAAATCTTATATAGAATATATTTAACTTTTTATATTTTCGCGTTCTATAATTATATAATAATTACACTACAAGACTTAAGCAGACTAAAGTCTGCCCGTGACCACGGCTGGTGCGACCCAGTCGAAACGTCGGGAATAAGTTATATAGCCACTAACGAATTCACGTGTTTAAGTTTCGTAGTGTAATTGTTCTAATTTAATAATATAAATAAGGTATTAATTATTAATAGTATGGTAGTATGGTGTGGTGGTATTATTAATAATATGGTATCTACTGTAACTTTCTCGCATGATGTGCGATGTTTTGAAAATTGCTGTATAATGTTAATGATGATAAAAGAATTTTTAAAGATTTTAGAGGTTTAAAAGATTTATGGAGGTTTTAGTATAGAGCAAAAACAGATAAAACAAAATTAATAAAGAAGTCAATAAACAATATCGCAACTATCGATAGATTTGTTTTTGATTTTTTTTCATAGTGCATAATATTTAGTAAATGAGGAAATAATTATTAGGATATTTGTGAGTTGGGTGAGTAACCTATAGGAGTGTGAAATTTTTTTTGAATGAGATACTTCTTGTTTATAAGAGGATTTATGAAAAAGTATACCATAACGTCGATAACAGACATTTTCCTTTATTATACTTATTTATTAAAAATAAAAATCAAGTTGAAATCTTTGTACACAATATCCTTATGCGGATTTGGACCAACTATAATCTTGGATTCATCTATATAATCTTTAATAACGTCATCTAATTCGTTTTTATTATCTGATGTAGGTTTAATAAACTTTGTCTCAATTTCATGAATAAGATCATCTGTACTCTTTAAGACTATAGGTTCTTTTTCTTCGCTTGCAATATTTTTATCATTCTTCATTTGTACTAATTTACCATCATAATAATGTCCATCACTATTGTTACCTTCTATAGCTTTCTTATCAGTAATATTAAGTTTTGGAATCATATCATTTTTTTTCATCTCTATCTCGTTAAGATCTTTATTAATTTTATCACTAAATATGCTCTTTTCTATTTCTAAAGACTTTTCTTTTAAATCTTTATTAGGATGCTGCGTACTATTTCTTGTGGCAATTGTTTCTAGTATTCTTTTATTTATTTCATTTACATGATCTATTGCATGTTTAATTTTAACATCATTACTACTTCCCATTCCAGATTTTGCGGTATTTAAAGTAGAAGATGGGGATATATTATCGGTTAAATGTAGTGTTTTATTTTTTTTAATGTCTATTACTTCTTCTTCTGATGTCTGACGTGGATATGCATATTCAGTATTTATTTTAGACTCATCTTGATCACGTTTAGCAGCTACAATAATTGCAATAGGAATATTTTCAGTAAGAGGACTCTTATCGGGTTGAGATTGGTATTTTGTATTCCATTTCTTATTAGACTTAAAAGGTAATACTTTGAATATTCTTCGACCTGGATTTACTTGTTCTGGATTGTCATTCAATTCATTGACAGGCCGCTGTTCTGCTTTATCATTTATCTGTAGCTCAGCATTTTTTTCCAAAAAACTTTCTAAAGACTGCAAGTTAATGCATAAGCCTGAGGCAATATGTAGTAGAAGTAAAACTACAAATAAAAAAGAAAATAAAAATAACTACTTTTTGTAATACTTAATATACTAAAAGGTATTTCAGTGTCATTTTTATGTATTTTTGAAAATAATTGTTTAATATAGTGGGTAGGTGCTGTTTGTAACTATATAACTACTAGCGGACCCGACAGACGTTGTCCTGCCTACACGTCTTTAATTTGAAAATTTCATACTTTTTTTTATAATTTTTTTGATGAAAATTATTATTCAAATTGTGAATCTAAACCATTCTCAGATCCCCTTGAACACACACAAAAAATCATCCATCACATCAAAATCGGTCCAGTCGTTTGAGAGAAGTTCAGTGACATACACACTCACAGAAGAATTATATATATAAAGATATACTGCCCTTTGAGATGACTAAAACCTCATTTTATCGCGTGGTCATGATTGCTGTAAAGCATTCGAAACTTCGGGAACCAAATATTAAAATAAATTTGCGAAAAAATCCGAAAAGATAGTTTTATTTTAAAACTAGCGATTGCCTTTGCTTCGCTCGGGTTTGTCCCTAGGTACATTTAATTTGTTTGAGCGGAACCCTAATTCTTTTTCTAAAATGAAAGTAGCCCATGTTACTCCCTATAACATCAGCTATCTTCGTCAAAATGATTCCAGCCGTTTCAGAGATTATCGGGAGCAAACAGACAGACAGAAACACAAAAATAACGCTGTTATTTTGACATTACAAACAGACACTTCGATTTTATTTATCTGTATGTCTGTGTTTTGTTTTCGCATGATAGGACAATTTCATCGAAATATTCTCAGCAGCTTACACATGAAATAGCAGACAGGCAGGCTTGCTTTCACATTTAGATACATTATTATTTTAGTATAGATACTTTTCTGATTGACGTAAAGTCAGATATAACGACTGTATAGTACTTACCAAGTGTTAACTCCATATTAGACTATACATAGGCTTTCTATGTCACGTTTTATATAGCCATTATAAGGAAATTAATTTTCTAACATTCGTCTTACTTCAAGGGTATATTGTACGCTTCATTAACTTATCATTTCATTAACTTACTTATAATTTTGTTAATAAACATGTCAACAAGTTAATTAAATTCGTCAAATTAATTTATTATCGACGTGAACTACGTCTTAAAGTGACGACACGTTTGACTCAATTTGTAGTGACCTCACTTGCTGTGCCAGCGGTCGCGGGTTCGTGTCCCGATGGTGTGCTGTCCCCTATTTATTTGTGTGATGAGCATGAATGTCTGTACTCCTGTATTGTTAAGTTTATATTGATTGCCTCGTTGGTGTAGTGTCTAGCATATACGGTTGTAGATCAAAGGTCGTGGGTTTGAGTCTCGGGTAAGGTATACATTTTCGGGTCGGGTTTTGTTGTATTAAAAGCGGTCTTTTGGGTTTAAGCATAGAATTATTAATAAACACATTCCTATAAGAATAATATTGTTGCCAACTCTCAACTTTTGGTTTGATCTGAGTCTTGAACCCAAGCCAATACAATCATACAAACTAACCACAATACCACCGATTATTTAGATTATGAAACTTTATGTTAGTTTATAATTGAATCTTAAAAGGAAAAATATATATTATAAAAATAAAAAAACCGCCTGCACAAAAGCTAACAAAAAAGATGAAAACAAAGAAAACAACGAAGGCATAAAGCATTATACAGTCGGAGACCTGTATACACGTAGCAATAATCGCAGCTAATATAGAACATAGTTCTATGTATGGTGCCTTAGATTCGCCACTTTGATTTTTAATTATACATATATACCTACTCTATCAAGACAAATCTAGCGACATGTGAGTCATTAAAATCACTTAAGCCGTTTAGTAATTACGAGGGAACATAGGATCGGACTTACATATATACATAAGTACATACACACATACATACTTTCGGATCAAACACCTAACCTTCCTTTGGGCTTCGCCGCAGTCGGGTAACAGTGAAACAAAATAAAAGCCAGTATAGTGTGGTAACTCGAAATAGAAGATTTATTAGAGTAAATAGAATCTATTGTTACGTATTTATATCACCAATGCTTACTCTACGTACAAAATAAACAAATGAAATGAAATTATCGAAAAACATATAACAAGTGGTCATTTAAACGACTAAATTTAAACCCATTAAATAGGGTCAAAATTTACCCCTAATTATGAAAATAGGGGTAAAAATTGACCCTTTTTATTGAATTATTAGTTTATAAAGGTTTTGTGTAGGTACTGTAGCCTTTATAACACAAATAGTTAAAAACTAAAAATGTAAATTGACAATTTTGTTATCAAATAACAATAAATATAAGGATTCTCGTTACATCGATACTTACATTGGCTTCATATTACAACATTCACAGCGGCGCGATCTCTTGAAAAAGATAATGAAATGAATGTCTATAAATTTTCAATGAACGATTGTTTCAGAACATTTTGTATATGATCATGTGGTAGCTCCTACGAGTGCTAATCGGGTACAATTTAATTCGAAACTATCGTAATGGTTATGTTAAAATGAAAGAATTAAATCAATCTGTCAATATATTTGCATACATGCGTTTGTTTGTCTTTGCCGTTGTTGAAGAAGTAAGAAGAAGAAGGTAGAGAAAAGAAAATAAAATCATTGGTTTATTAATATTTTTGGGTGAATTCATCAAAAATGTTTGTGCTGAGCTGGTTTCGATAAAACAATAGAATAGCGAAGCATTCTATATTCGGCACCAAATTTAGTGCGGATTTAATTTTAGTGGAACTGATATAGAGTTATAAGATAAAGTTGCTTCTGTAATATAATTTATGATTACTTCAATATTTCAATTAACTTATACATTCTTAGATTTACGCGAATATTTTACATTTTAAATAAAACTATCTTTTTGGATCATTTCGCAGATTTATATAGATTTTTGATTCATGACCATGATTGATGACGTCGGGAACCAAAAATCAAAATAAATCCGCGAAATAATCCAAAAAGATAGTTTTATTTAAAATGTCATTCGCGTAAATCTAAGAAAGTATTATCCGAAGAGATAGTTAATTATTTAAAATTTAATGAACTTCTTTCTTTTCTCTTCTTTATCTGAAACATTTCCTTAATTATTACATTATTTTTATTATTCTTTAATTTAACATATTATCGACTTGTGTTTTTCTTTTTGTGTATGTAATTTATTTGTAATACCTAAAAATAAATTAATATTAATTATTAAAATTACACATAAAAATTTGGCACATAACAATATTTCAATTTTATTTCTAAAGTGTTTGGAAAGTTATTTGGAAATTTTGTGGGAAACTTCATAAATTTCCAATTTTCACCTTACATTATGCTCGTCGCTGGCGATGCCATTTTGAGCAAATGCCCCTCAATTTTTTTTATTAATGCCCTGACTTATTTTATAAAAAATGTAATATAATTAATTAAACTATATAATACTATTTTCTTATACATATTTTAAACAAATAATATAGTATTGAAGTTTTCCCGTTAATGTTACTTTGAGAATTTGTCATATTGATATTACATCCATACTAATATTATAAATGTTGGAAGTGTGTTTGTTTGTGCGTTTGTTTGTCTTTCCTTCACGTCGAATCGGAGTGACGGATTGGCGTGATTTTTGGTATGAAGATAGTTGGAGAGCTGGAGAGTGACATAGGCTAGTTTTTACTGCGGGAGATCATCTTATTCCCACGAGAAAACACGTTATAATACAACTCAAAAAATATTTATGTTCAGAATTACTTGAAACTTAGTATATAATGGTTTCAATACAATTAAATAAATACATGATTTAGCATTTTTCGAAATTCATCCTATAAGGGGATAAAATAGGGGATGAAAGTTTGTATGAAACCTATTTTTATACAGAAATTTTTGTAGTTTTAGCGCGAGCGAAGCCGCGGGTTCTGTTAGTACATACATATATGACATTGCAGCACACAGCAGATGAATAAGTTCTCCAACACAGAATTATTGTTTTGGTTTAAACTTTAATAGAGGACTTTGACAATATTATAATAATCAATGTAAATACGAATCAAAATGTGAAATCTAACAAGGTAGAAAGGCTTTATATACCACTAGATAGATTTATTGGTCTTAAAACTATACATAAATATACATAAAACCATTGTTAAAAAACAATTTACATTATTTAAATACAAAGTTAACAACCAAAATAAATAATAATAAATAATTTTATTTCTTATTTTATTCAACTTGAAAATATTTTATTTTTACTAAAATTAAAGTATGTAATTAAAAGTATTTAATTAAATTGCTTTTCTAGAGCTTAGTTTAATGTAAATTCAATTTTGCTTAAAATTTAGTTATACATTTATTTTATTATTTATTTTATTATCTACTTTATTATCGTATTTGGCATTTAATAATAAGCTAAGTGGAAGAATAATGTTTAAAGATTTAGTTCTAAGGAAAAACTACATGAAATTTTTGATTTTTTTTAAAGTTTAAGAACACAATATGGCTCAAAATAATATTATTTGAACTATCCAAGAAAAATATTTGGTATTTAGCTCAAAAAGATACATACAATAGAATTTAAAAGTAACGATTTAATTTTTTAAAGTTAATTGAAATCTCTTTGAAATAAAATCAATTAGTTTAAAATAAACCAAAAATTTCAAATAAGAAATGAAATTGTGAAAATAATATTATTTCTCCTAATAAGACTACAAAAACTTGAATTTAAATCTATATTAAGTAGTAATAGCATCTTTTTGGACCGAAAATTTGAAAGTTTTAAACTACAATGCAATAGGAGTTTGTTTGAAATATAGTAATTGCCCGCAGTGTTATCTACAAGAACGATTTAATTATAAAATAAAAACCGACTTCAAAAATTTCCTGTATTTGCACTTAAAATATAATAATCACTCATATTTCTCTCTTACGGGTGGATTTTTTCTACTACTGAAAATTGGTTCAGGTATGCATAGTCTTTCCAATAAATAGTTCTCATATGCATGTGATACCAACAATGAAGTAGATAAAGAAGCATAGAGCTTTCACTTTTTTGAAGTCGATTAAAACATATTTATAATTATTATGTTTTATTAGTATTGATGAAATACATATAATATGTTTCTAAATAAATAATCTCTTTCTGTTCGTCTCTTTACGCCACTACAAATGATCGCCATAAGAGGCCTTCTGCTATTTCCCTCTATCAGCCGTCATCTCCGTACATACTCCTTTTACATAGACGTCTTCCACACATCACGTCTTCTTTTTACATACCCTTCTGCCTCGCTCTACTTCTACTTTTATCCTCATTCACACCAAACCCTTTCTCAGCCTAACCTGTTACTCATCAGCCTTTCTATCACTACAATTTCACACTTTCTCTAATATACTAATCGCTTGCACAAGATAAATTTTGTTATTGAATGTACGCATAAATCCACAAACATTATAATAATAAGATATATTTTTGAATTGTGCCAAGAAGGTTTGAAGATTCTAAAAATACTATACTTTAGAACTTTTGAAGAATTATTAAGAATAACGTGACTATGTATGTCTTTGCAATACACGGGAAATAATAATAATAATAAGTAACTAAAGACCCAGTTCATGCTTTATCTGATTAAATTATCTTTAAATTGTAATGAAAAAATAAAAGATATAAAAAGTATTCAGAAACTACATGGAGAATTATGTATTATTTTAACTCGTTTCTATAAATAATTATATTGAATATTACGAGTATGTAGTTTAAAATACTGCAATTTTTTTAAGAGCAACTAAAGAAATACATACATACGTTCCTGCAATAAAATTATTGATCTAACCTGTTTCTTGTATCTTAACCGTTACTAAACTTTACGATTCTATTTTGTTAGGGTAAGCAAAGTTTTGAAAGTCCCAAAAATTTTGAAAATTTTGATAGGGTCAGTTTAAATTGATAAAATTTTTAATATAATTAAATTTTTGCTGTATTGCAAATACATATTTACAGATTAGTATAGATAAGTACTAGATAATATATTTTATTGAATTTTTTATTATTAAAGCACGTGACATTTTGTTCCCAATTCTAAAGAAGAGATTTCATCGATGCGTTCTGTTTGTTTTTCGTTTCGCTTTTCGAGGAGCGACTTCTTCTGCTACCTGAAAAATTAAATACGTAATTAAGATGAGTAACGCATTAAAAACCTTATTATAAATATAAAAGTAACTCTGTCTGTCACGTTTACACAACTAAACCGCTGAACCAATTTTGATGAATTTTAGTATAGATTGGAGAAGGACCTAGACTATTTTTTGTCGCAAAAATAAAACTTGAAGGGAATAAAATCAAAATAATAAATTCTGAATAGAATTTATTATTTTAATTTTATATTGATTTTATTTATAATGATAAATGAATCACTTATATTGTCCTCTTTTTATAATAATAATATAATATTATATTATAAAGAGGAAAGATTTCATTTTTTTGTTTGCACCGAATAAGCTCCGTTTATATATAATGTTTACGTATATAACACACTAAAGTTCGTCAATAACTACTAAACAAAAAAATCGGTTGACAGACAGAGGAGGAAACTGTTTCATCTTTGTCTATTTATATATAAATAAAAATAATTACATGGTTTAAGCAATTACGTACTGTAGCAGTGATGCGAACAGCCACAGGCGGCGCCGGCGACTGCGTGGAACTGGACGACGCCTGAGAGTCTTGTCTGCAAACAAACCCAACATTATTCGTTGAGACTGTTACTTGCTTTTAATTATTTTCTTTTGATTTTTCAACCTGATATTATATTATATATAAAACTAAATTTTCAGATTTTTTGTTTTGGTTTTTTGTTACTTTACTAGTACAGATGCCTCATCCTATACAAAGAAATGGGACAGCGCTAATTCGGGCTATTCTTAGAGCTATTTATATTTGCTTAAATAGATTATAGATGTTATTGATTCGCAAATAGTTAGGCTATTCCATTCTACGAGTATAAATATATGCAAACTAACTAATGGTAAATATTTTAAAATTAATCCAATATTTGAATGAAAAAATCTGTGATTTTCACAATTTTTAACCGCGTTAAACAATTCATAAAAAGTAAAAGCGCCTGATTGCTGATATTTCTGATTTATTATATTTACCAGCACATTATTTGTTTTCCATTCATTAAGAATATTTTTAAAACAATAATATTCCTTTTAGGGATCTATTTTTTATCTTTTGTTAATTTAACACAACTACTAAGAAATCGATACATGTAACACCACCTATTGACATTTATTTGAACTATTTTTGCTTTGTTCGTGCTGAAACCGCATTGTTTTATTTCGTTTTTGTTCCTGACGTTTCGAATGCTTCGCCACAAACATCCTCATGGAAGAGACTGAGGTTTTAAGAGACACTGAAAGTTAGCAACTTATAAAATTGTAAGAAAAAGTATTTCTACAAATTATGTCGCGCAAAAATAAGTATTATTTGCTAATTCATTGAATCGGAAAGCAGTTTTCTGTAAACACCGTGGGATTAAATTTTATTTTATGGTATTCAGCCCTTTTAAACTTCCCACTTCTGGGAGTGGGCTTCTCAATACGACAGGGATCTCTTTTGAAAAGGAGATAGTCTTTCGAAAACTTCCTAGGTTCCCTCAGACATACAGGTTTCCACGCGATATTTTCCTTCAGCGTAAGACAAGTGCTAATCATGTTTGAAATGACATGAGAATCATGCACATGAGAATATCAAAGATGCGACGCCATGAGGAGGATTTGAACTCGCTTCACTCGGTTTCCCAAGCGAGCGAGCTACCACTGGGCTTACTTATTTACTTGTTTTATAGTACTTTTGGTACCTTTACCTAGTATTGAAGGAAACCCACGCCCAACAGTTCTGCTGCTTAGGTTCAAAAAAAATGCAAAAAAAATACCTTTAATTTATTTTGTGGTTTTTCATGTTTTTTTAATTCGAATTTAATCTCTTTCAATTTTTTTTATTATTTTAATTGTGTTAGTGTATTTTGTTATTTATACAAATATTTTATAATAGTAATTTATTATTGTAACATAGATATAATGTAAACATTTTATAAAATCTCCAAATTTGCATGTATGCGTGGTAGTCACCTCAAAAAGTAGTGCAATTAGCTATAAGAACTTGAAATTGTATTATTGTAACTAACCTTTGGTGAATCTAATAAATAAATAGAATAAAATAAATAACAGTGGGATGTTAAAAAGGGTTAAATACAATGTTCAGCTGGAAAGTAAGATGTGAAGTTGATGTTGAAAGACGTAACGCTAACAGAGATAATAGTGATTTGTGATCAAACGAAAGGACTTATCGATACAAACTTCATTATATAAGCAAAACTGTTGTGACAGGAAAAATATGAAAGGAAGAATGCAGTAGAAGCGATCTCTTAAAAAAATTATACATCTAGATCAGCTCAACTTATAGACTCAATAAAGAAGAAATACGAAAGGAAAGGAAGAACAGAAGAACATGTTTTAGTAGTTATAGAAAGAAGAAAAAATGCAAGACCATGACGCAAGTATGATCGAAAATATATATTGTGGATATAGATATTTTGGAAAATAATTTGTGCGGATTTTATGATGGATTCGATATTATCAGTCAAGTAAAAATCACATAATTACATAATTACTTTTATGCTGTACGATAAATTTGTCAAGATATGCAAGATAAAAAAACCGGCCAAGTGCGAGTTGGACTCGCGCACGAAAGGTTCCGTACCATCATCTATAAACACTGCAAAAAAATCATATCTGTGTATGGGAGCCCTCGTAAATATTTATTTTATTCTGTTTTTTAGTATTTTTTGTTATAGTGGAAACAGAAATACATTATCTGTGAAAATTTCAACTGTCGTACTATCACGGTTCATGAGATACAGCCTGGTCACAGACGGACAAACAGACAGCGGAGTCTTAGAAACAAGGTTCCATTTCACCCTTTAGGTGTGGAACCCTAAAAAATAGTAATATTTTTTTAAACATATCTGTCTGTATATTTTTCTTTTTTTTATTAAGTGAGACTAACACTATAAACTTTTCGTCCGTGCCTACTTATGAGCTTTTGTTTCATTTGGTGTTATTTTTTTCTATACTTTTCATCACCAGTGCTTATCTGTCCAAACCATCCATTCACCGAAAGAGTTCTTAATTCAGTATTATTGACTTTTAAATGTCAATCCTATTGACATTTAAAAGTCAATATATACATTTTACTGTAATAAAACCGAAAATATGTATTTTATCTATATATGTAAATGTACATAAATCTTCGAAATAAGCCTTTGTTTTTGAAATTGAAGAAAAAACTGTACTGTAAAGTACATCAAGTATTGGTCGTTTGAACAAATAATTATTCCCACCACGACGGCGGACACCCCGAAGTGTCAGTTAACAATAGATTTCTTAGAATTTTAATTAATTTCTTAGAAATTTACCTGGAGGTGATAATTAAAATATACTCGTATAACAACTCAATAGGGAATATGCGTGTTTTTTTTTATACAATAGCTTACATCTTTATATAATTGTAAAACAAATATCCAGCCAACAAATATCCAAAATACTAAAATTTATTAAAAAAAATATAATAAATTTTACTAATATTTAAATTCGGTATTACTGATACAGATACTTTAAGCGCCCGTCATTACGCCATTTGTCTTGAATTTCAGAGGCAATTAAGATTATAAAAAAATTTAAATCATACGCATACTCCCTATTATCCATCAAAAGCAAGATCTCTTTAGTCGTTACCACTTGTATTTAAATCTCAGACTTAACAATTATAAAGACAGAGTCCGCCAAAATATTAATGTCTATGGCAAAAATAGTAGCGTGATTAACTCTGTTCAGATAGCAGCGAAAGATTATCACAATCAATCAAAACATACGTGGGCTGTATTTTGTAGCTAATTAGTTGGTAAAACCCCATTTTGTTGCTCAATTCAATTTCACAAAAAAGTGGTAAATTAATAATTTAAAAAACCCCAGACCATCTTGGACCGACTTTCATCAAATACAGCTGAGAACACTCCCGACTAAGTCACCTTTCAAACAAAAAAAAACAAAAACAAAATCGGTTTATCCGTTTGGAAGCTACGATGCCACAGACACACACACACACACACACACACACACACACACACACACACACACACACACACACACACACACACACACACACACACACACACACACACACACACATACACACACACACACACACACACAGACACAGCCACGTAAAACTTATAACACCCCGTAGTTCTTGCGTCGTGGGTTAAAAATACAGTAGTTACAACTATCTTAACGATAAACTTGCAGTAAAACGAGGGGATTGGCAAGATTAGGTTGAATTATACATAAGAACTCGTTGCTAATCTGTTGCTGAAAAACAGTTTAAGAACATTTGAAAATAAAATAATATAAAAAAATACGTTTTTAAAAACAAGCTTAAATTATATTATATAAATTGTGTAATGTGTTTGATTTAATTTATTGTATTCTTCTCAGCAAACTCTTTAATTTGATATCCATATCATGGGGGTGCATGAAAAAACATAGTCCGCCATCTTTGGGAGTCCGCCATATTGGATTTAGAATGACGTCACTTATCTAACCACGCATTGTCATCCAAACTAAGCGTTATATGAATTCAGTTGCAAGATTTGACCCGAACAAACATACAGACAAACATGCAAGTTAAATAAAAGGTTGTCATAACCCTTGATCAACCCTAATCTGCTATATACACCTGGAGACCTGTAGCTGACAACCAATGTCCATGGTATATTAACACGCAGTTTTTACTGATAAGACGATGTCATAGAGATTGTTCCTGGTCGTTAATGACATCAGAACTCACCAGAGAACCAGTAAATAAATAAATATATTGGTACATTAACACACAGCGCCATCTAGTTCCATAATCCATGGTAAGCTACGAGGTTTGTGTTATGGATACCAGATAGTTGATACACTACACATATATAACTTTAAATACATACATCTTTTAGATATAAGCACCCATGACTGGAGTACAAATATATATGTATATATATGTATGTATGTATATATATATATATATATATATATATATATATATATAACGATTGCTTTGGGATCTATATTCTGTGCACAATACGTCACAGACATTATTTAATAAATAATTCATATACAGATTTCGCTTTGTTAATATTTTATTATATGTATATATAGATTCTGATATCTCACCTTCTAATCCTCGGAGGTGGCGGAGGCGGAGTCTTCGAAGGAGAATTCGTCAATATCGATTTTGGTAAAACTTTAGCGATGACTTTGCCGCTAGTTACTGAGCTAGATTTAGATAAAGATCCACCTTTCTCAGATTCTGCTTTATCTGTTTTGATAGTGTTTAGTGATGTGGTAGATGTAGTTTGAGATTTGTCATTTTTTGAAGATTTGTAGTCGTCTAAGTTTGTAGAGCGTGTTTCGTTACCATCTAAAGTAGTGTCAGTATCGACAGCCACTGGAAAAGAGAATTATTGATTTCATAATACATACTTGTTATAATATAACAACTGATTGATATATAAAAACCTAGATAGATACACATTTCCTAAAAAATATTTCTTCAAAAAGTGGCGTCGACATATGACGTTAAGTCAAACCAAAGAATAACATAAAAAAAATCGATAGTTCTAATTGTCTAAACACAAATTCGAACTTATGCACACCACATAAAGTAGTTTTTTAAACGAAACAACGTGCGTTTTACTTTCGTCATCCGAAATGCTATGAACAAAAGAGATTTGAAAAGAGCGCATAATTTCGGATTGTGCACTTCTTTTGTGGACACTTTTGAGCCGCTAATTGTGTATCTTGAGTTTTTGCATATCAATGATAATAAATTAATAAGTATAACTTTTATATAATAAAAATTGAAAAAATCCAGTTTGTTCGTAATTCTTCTACTTTGACCAATTTTCATTAAATTTTTTTGAGTACTTATAAGGCTCAGACTAATGAATAATATAGATAAGAGTGTCATAAACAGACACATCTTTTGATTATATAGATCTAGAAGTTTGATTGCTTCACAGCTCCAAGGCATTACAAACTAAGTATTTGATATTCTTGACAACCTGATCCCTCCAAATGCTCCTGACGCAAAGGATATTTGACAGACAGACGGACGGACAACGGAGTGATTCTATAAGGGTTCCTGGATTCCTTTTGAGGTACGGAACTCCAAAAATATCATTATTCTTCTTATTTGGAGTTGTTTTAAATAAAACGTATTTTTCGGATTTTTTGCGGTTTTATTTTGATTTTTTGTTTTATTATTATTAAGTATTTTAAAATAATAAATAATAGAACTTGTTAAAAATAAAATAAATATTTAAAATTAAAATTAACAAATATTGCAAGGTACTTTGGTGGCATTTTTGTATTTTGTGGTAGGTGCTGTCTGTAACAACTATACATATTATATTAACCTTTGAGACATCTTCAACCTTAGTCCCGTGACCATGATTGCTATAAAGCATTCGAAATGTCGCAAACCAAAAATCAAAATAAATCCGCGAAAAAATCCGAAAAGATAGTTTTATTTAAAATGTCAATGCGCGTAAATCTACCCGTAATAAGAAAGTATTATTTGCAGTTGGATATAGCAACACAGCATACACGTGTCGAAGGGTGTGTCGGATCACAAGACCGTGTCGAGGGTGTCGAGCGAGCGCAGCAGCGCGGGATCGCGCGCGCACCACCGCGCCAACTCGTCGGGGGTCACCACGCCGTCGGCGTTCGTGTCCATCAGCTGTGGGAGAAGAGGACTGATCTTTATAGTATACATACTAATCCCATAATCCCAAAAATACCATTAATCCATACTAATATTATAAATGTGACAGTTTGTGAGAATGAGTTGATGGATGTTTGTTACTCATTCACGCCAGAACAGCTTAACAGATCTGGATGAAATTTGGCACAGAGATAGATTATAGTCTAAGATAGCACATAGATACTTTTTATCTCGAAAAAATTAACGGTTCCTGTGGAATATCCGTACTAATCGTTCTGTATAAATGCGAAAGTAACTCGTTACGTTTTCATGTTTAAATCTGAACCAATTTTGAATAAGTTTAAATCGAAGAATGACATGGAAATCTAATAAAGTATTAAATAATAATATTTTCATGATCTTACATGAAAAATTCGGTCCACATGGTCTTCAGCGGCTGCTTTATGCAACGGAGGCGCGGCCGCCCGCCCTAGCAGCTCGTAGACCGCCCTCACTACTGCCAGCATCTCTCCACGAGAAATCCGCCCATCGCCATCCACATCATACAAATCAAACACCCACGACAGTTTCTCTTGACGAGATCCTCTCGCCACTCGAGACAGGGTGTCCAAAAACTCCTGGAAATTGGTGCAAAAACATGTTATTGACAAAAAAATTAATAAAATTTTGAAATTGTCTCTTAGAATTTCACGTAAAACCCTGATGTATTAGTATACTAAGGCTATATTATATTTCGGATCACAATCAAAAATCTACTGGAAATTATATTTTTCTCTTACAAACATTTAAAAGCACTTCTGAATTGTTAATTTTTACATTTACATTTAATGTACGTAACAAGAGTTTATTTTTAAGCTTAGCTCTTTAAGTTTATTTTTAATTAAATTCTCATCTAATAAATTTTATTAAATGACTAATATCTATATAGAATTTCACTTATTCTCTAAAGAAATTACACTATCTGTATGGCAAAAACAAGAATAGTAGCAAACAGCAAATCTCGCTACCATTTTTGACTTAGACAGCTTTTTAGCGGACTTTGTCTTAAGTAAAAACATAAATAGGTACTTAACAAAGATTTATTTTACTCTATAAATTATGTAATTTGGTTATATGAGATAGTGAGGGAAGAAAATAATCTATACAGATAAATAAAATTCAAGTTTCTGTGTATGTAATGCACGGTACTTATAAGAAAAAGATAATTTATAAAAAAAATGTCTGACTGTTTGTTGAAACGGCTTAACTGATTTTGACGGGACTTTCACTGGCAGATAGCTGGTGCTATAAGAAATAACTTAGGCTACTTTTATTTTAGAAAATGAATTAGGTTTCCGCGCAAAAAAATTAAAATCTATATATATAATTAAATATTTTTTTGAAAAATCTTATTGAAATGGTCATTATTATCGATACAGAGGCCGAATCTATAGTTTTTAGAATTTTTGTCTGTCTGTCTGTGACGACGAAACGACGACGGAAACGATTGGTCAGATTTCGATGGTATTTGGTATGATGATAGCTGGCTATCCGGGTCAACATATAGGATTTTTTTGCGGATATATTTTTTGATTAAAATAAATCACTAGAGATGTAATACGAAGTATATTATCGATTAGTCCTGTACAATGTACTCTTGAATAGATTTCTAATGTATAGAATAATCTAAATGTAAGAGGTTCCTCTTTGTGCATTCACGGAGTTTGATAGATTAATGTATTAATAACGAGGGGAAAAACCTCTCCTTTAACTCCTTTTAAGCAAATTGAATGCGATCTGTCCGGAGTTTGGTATCCTTCGGCTCTTTTGTAATACATTTTGAGTGATATTATCCGATTTTTAAAGGAGAGGTATGATGTGTACATGAGTTTTTGTGTGCACTCCCAGTGACGAAAATTCGAGCACAACCATTATTGAAAATTTGAGGAAAACCTATATAAATTGAAGTTACTTATCTATATAAAAAGTAATTGTATCCATTTTTTTTATTGACAGCTCGCGACTTATCCTGATTACCCATACAAACTTTCATCCTCATTTTCACCCTCTTAAGGTATGATTTCCGGGATAAAAAGCATACTATATCCTACCCAGGATCTAAAACTATCTTCTTACCAAATTTCATCTAAATCGGTTTAGTAGATCCAGAGATTACCCCTTACAACGTTACAAGCTCACAAACTTTACCTCTTTATAATATTAGTATAGAAAAACACTAAGCCTCGTCAATAGCTAATAAATAAAAAAAAGGAAATCGGTTCACAAACAGACGAGGAAAAGCTATTGAACAGTTTTGTCTTTTGTAGTTTTGAATACAAACGTACATTTGCTGTCGATAACATTCATATTGTGGTTCAAAAATTAATGTTTAGATATTTTATTTTACTTTTATATCCCAACTAGCGTCTTTATAATAACATTCTAAAAGAAGAAAAAGAGAGAGAAATGAAAAGAGTCGAATCTGTACATTAAATACTTTTTGGAAAATCTTATTGAAATAGTTTTTATCATCGATACAGAGGCCGAATCTATAGTTTTTAGATTTTTTTCTGTCTGTCTGTCTGTGAACGTATCACCAGAAAACCACTGGTCAAATTTTAATGAAATTCGGTACGATGATAGCTGGTTATCCGTGTCAACATATAGAATACTTTTTACTGCAGGAAAATATCTCATCTCTGAGAAATCTATCCTAAACCTTAAAACGTAACTAGGGACGATTGACGAACCTGAGCGGAGCGAGGGTGAAACGCTAGTTTAATTAATATAAAATTATATTTTTTGGGATATTTTCGCAGTTTTATTTTCATTGTATGTCCTCGATATTTCGAATCCTTTTCACTGAAAATAATCCACAACAAAATCCTTAATTTCTAAAACCGCGTAAAGATTCGAAAAAGAAAAATATTAAAAACTAGCGACTCGCCCTTGTTTCAATAAAACAAATATTAAATGTTAAGTGAGGCTTATCACAATTATACATTAATTAAAACCGCGCCCAAATACGTTAAGCTGTTTCTGAGCTTAACACAAACGCACAGACTAACAGACAAAAAATCTAAAAATAAGTGTTTTGGGTTCTATTACGTGAATAAAGACCCCCAATAATAGTTTTTCTCAAATATATTCCATGTACAGACAGCGATCAGTTTCACTTTTATTATATGTATAGATGTCAAATATTAGCGTAAATCTAATGAAGTATTTTTTTCTGTACACGACGGGCCAAAAACTGGGTAGTCTCATTGGACTTAGAATTTCAATCAGAAAATAAAATAACAAACACAGATACCTTTAAAAATATCATAATTAAAACTCACTCAGGCATCAGTGATAAAATATTACAATGTTATTTTACGAGATTGAGTAAAATATGCGATAAAATATTAAAATAAAATATGAACTCTTTTTTTAGCGCAGTGCCTAATACATAATTGTATGTTGTTTTTTCCACCTAAAATTCCCTTTGTATTGTTTACAAGCGACTTACCCTCACTTCGTTTGGACATTCCTAGGTACACGGATTTTGTTCGCAATTTCATGGGTACTAATTTTTTACAAAATATTTAAAGACTGTGTTTTTCGTATAAGTACCTTATATAATTTCATATACATTTAGTAAAAAGCTGTTTATTTGTATTAGTGGCATAGCTATGGCAATTTAACCAATGCGATCGCATGGATGACCCCTGATTCAAGGGGGCCTCAACCGGCCACAATCGATTCTTTTATTTCAAAACATTTTTTCGACGACGGCCCTCATAGAAGTTAAAAAAAACCGCAAGAAAAAAGCGTCCTTTTCCGCATATTATTTTTTACGAGGACCACTAAGAACGTGATCGTACCTACGTTCTGTAAAACAATCAGTGATCCTTTAAGCTCAGCTTTTTTTACTAAATTTTACTTTACAAGTTCTTCTGTGAGAATGATTTGAAAAATGTAAGTAATTCGAAAACTGTCTTTGTCTGTGGACCACATTGGTTTTCAAAGTCAGCAAAGTGCCCCCCTTCCATTTTTTTCGCATTGGGGTCCAAAAATGCTAGTTACACCACTGCCTTAGAGTTCCATAAAAATAGTTTTTTTTGGCTGTTTCAGTGTGCCCTATCGCCGCTACTTTAAAAAAAAACTGGTGGCTAATGCCAGCTGAAATAGAAAAATATTCTCAACTCGAACCCTTTACGTTTAACTTATATATAACTTCCCCTTAAAATGAATAAAACCCATGAACCATTATAAAAGGCCGTAACCGACTAATATTTTACTAACCGACTTTCAAAAAGGAAGTGGCTTTATGTTCATTTGTGTTTGTATTTTTTAATATCTGAAAACGTACCTCAAAATTTAGTTTCCCACGTTGCTTGTGTTTGATTGTGTTGAACACGAAGTGCGCGTACTGAGTGGCGTCTGGAACAAAATATTTAGAGATTAGAGACTAAATCTTATATATTTAAACGAGCTATTCTTGTATATATATATATATATATATATCAATATATAATCTGAATCTCGGAAACGGCTCCAACGATTGTCATGAAATTTAGCATGCAAGGGGTTTCGGGGGCGATAAATCGATCTAGATTAATCTTATATCTGGAAAAACGCGAATTTTTGAATTTTCATGCGATTTTATTTTGCATTTTCACAATTTTTGCATTGTCACTTCTGGTGAGTGGGCGGCGCCACTGTGCAACTGTCAACATCGTGTCCGTATTTACATCAAGTTTAAATATATTTAAGTGAAAATAATCTAAAGAATAAATATAAATTTAAATAATAAAAATAAATTTTTAAATAAAACCTATGGGCAATATGTAAACATCACCAAGTCTTGATGTGTTGAAGAACAAATGAGCTTTTAAAAATTCACCTACCAAACAAATATAAAAGTGACAAACATAACTTAAAGATACTATTAGTGCAAAACCATCTTTTCTGTGTGTGATGACAATAAAACAAAATAATTTGTGAAGTGAAAGCGTCAAATATTAAAACATAAGTTTATAACCTCAAAAACTAATACTCGGTATAAAATTGCAATTCAACTTGGTATAATTGGTGCTTTTTTCAATCAGCTTTTCTACTTCCAACTTCACACATAAGATGGAGGACATAAAAAAGTTGCTAATAAACATGCAACAAGAAATAAGACAGCAGAAAACAGAAATGTTAGAAATGAAAGAAGACATTAAAAATACAATCAACAATAATATACTTAAATAAGAAATTTAAACAGTTAGAAATAAAAATTGAAGTTCTTGAGAAAAAAATCCAGGAACAAAGTACCTCAATAAATAATTTAGAAAGACATATTAGGCGCAAGAACTTTCATGAACTCCTATCATGAACTAGAGGAAAAAATAGTCTTAAACTAAACGGAAATAAAAAAGAAGTCTGCCTGTATCTCCAGAAACGCCTTACCTCAATTATAAACAAAAACTAACAAATAAACAACATACAAAGAAAACCATACCTGGTAATATTAAAGACTTAATATTACAAAAACCAAAGTTAACTTTCAACCACACAAATGATAACCAGGAACAACTAAAAACAACACAGCAAGATACAGTATATTAAACACCGTAGGAACCTCCTCATCTTTATCCACCAGTACGGCCGGTCACTGTGGGGGAGTTCGACCGTAACCCTCCAAAGAAAAACAGACATACAATGAACAAAGGTATACATATCTTCACCAGAAAAACTTCTAGAATTTAAAGCAGCATTTCCTACAACAAATCAAAAGAACACAAAGATAAAATTATAAACTTTATAGGCATATCAGAAACAAATTATATATTGAAAACAAAATTTGAAAAGAAACCCTTTGCAATCATATAAGCATAATCTCCAACGGAGAGCTCTATGCAGGACTACTTTGGAGGAGGCTTTTAACCGAGAGGGGTCTATACATGAAAAAGACATTTACTAAATAAATACATTTAATTATGAAATTAAATACCTAACTTATAACTATTGTCAGAATTAATGTATGGAAAGAAATTTTATTTATATGTATTAATGTGAAATGTTTAGTATTTACTCAATTGAATTATTTAATTTATTGTGATTGTTTATTTATTTATTTGTTAATGATAATTTATATATATACAATATCATTTCAAATAATATGAAGATTTTTAAAATATGTAATTTAATTCCAGATTACAAAATTATTATTTAAAAAATTATAAGTTAATAAATAGTCACTAAATTATATAATTTTATATTTCAGCAATGTGATATAGACATTTTTTTTATTGTACAACTAAAATGGCTCCTTATATACTCTTAACCAAATAAAATTTTAATGGAATACTTTTATAAAAAGCTGTGCATACTTTTAAATTAAATTTATATATAAATAGGTAAAATTATAATGTTAAATAAATGTTTTTATGTAAATTTAGTTAGTAAGCCTTTATAATAAATAAATGAATAAATAAATAGAGCTTTATTATTATTATGATTTCTTTTGCATTATTTTAATAAATTAATAATTCCACGCAAAATATTATGTTCGATAATTTCGCACGCTCAGATATAAGCATTATGGTCAAGCGGCCAATGCACAAGTTTGACAACCACAGGTGTCTGGATTCGTATCCCGGTCGGACACAAAGTTTTTAATTTTGTTTTTTTTTTTGTATTTATTCAAATTCTTAGTTTGTTTTTTTTTAATTTTAGTTTGTTTTTTTGTTTGCCAAAAACTCCGAGCAAAGCTCGGTCGCCCAGGTACTTATTTATTAATAACATCAGCTGTTAACTCACTCAGGTGTCACATTTTTTTTAGTTTTTCTGCTCATACCGTTAAAGCAGTAAGTTTTGTTATATAAAAATAAAAAAAAATCTATAAATTTTCATATTTGTCTTCATGGATGGTCAGCACTAATTGAGCACTAAATTATTGCTAGATTGATTTTGACGTTGTGTCATGCTGTTAGAGTACTAGGCAGTATACTGCTAGCTTAATTAAAAGCTAGCGGTTTTCTGATTTTTGATCAAGCTATTTTAAGGTAAAATTCAATTTTGCAGCATTAAATTAGCAATAAATGAGGACTTAATTTTCTGCAAAATTTTTAGCGATTCTGTCCAATGTACCATTCCAGCTTTATAGACGTTAAAATCCATTAGCTGTTCCTATATATTGACATGATATTTATTTACTTATTATTAGGTATACCATTTCAATTCCTTAGCCTGAGCATTAAGCATATTTAAAAAAAAACAATTAGAAAACTTTTTTATATGAAATCGGATAAAACGTCGCCACTTAAGAAATTCATAAAAATGATAAAAAAAAGTTAATGTTTTCCTTTTCTTCGTAAACGCAAGAACTTTACAGTGCTTTGTCTAAATACTTTCACGGCCTTATTAAAAGTTAGCAGAAACATTGCATTTGATTTGCGAATCTATTATTAAAACGATAAGATCTAAAATCGTATGTTTTATTTTATGTACACAATCCCGTAAGTCTAGTGAAGAGGTGAAGTTGCTTAAATTGTACTTACTTATTAATAATCCCCCGGGATTCCACATTGAACGTTTCTAACATTTGGGCTCAAATATATTACTAGTAGCACACCTTTTTTAACCAACTTTGAATAGTGGAGGAGCTCAATTCGTATGCAAGTTATCGGTTTGAAGATTTTCAAAAGCATTTTGTAACCACTTCGTGGAATTCAAATGAGCGGAAATCTGGTACACTTGCGTAAATTCGGGGACAATGTCATATTTAGGGAATGCAATCTCGAGACGAGATCGCTAAGTCGAGATCTCGAGGGATCAGAAATTCGATCTCGGCGAGATCTCGGCATTTTCGAGATCTCGAATGGATTTCGAAAAGTATTATTTTAATTAGATAACTGAAACATGATAGAATGCTTAGTAGTGTGATGCGAGTCAGATACAACGTGAATTATTGTAAAAAAGTCTTTATTTTTATAATTTTTTACTTATATTATGTTAATGAACACAAAAATTCAGACCCGTAGAATCTCTTATAGAGTACTTATTTTAACAAAGTTAACGATAGCGATAACAAAAAGGATGAGTGTCAATAACCTAAGTAATTTCCCCTACAAATCACGGAAAATTAAATAATTTCACAGAACACTATTATTATTATTTTTTTAATATTAGACTACACGTATATATATCTGCGCGTTTTAGATAATATTTATTACCTTTTACAATTATTTTCATTTATAGTTTGAAATAGGGTATTATATAGATTTTGTACTTAAACTCAACATTACTTATTATATATTTTTTACATCAGCGCAATTTCCCAACTACATAAAGACATAACAACGGTTACCACGGTAACAAGGCAATGTATTCTATCTCATTCTCTCGCCGGTCACTTTATCCTATATATTTATGTGTTTGTTTGTTATAAATCACGATTCTAAAGAAGTTTCACTTCAATATTAGTATGTATGTAACAAAAATGACAACAGAATCAGTTGACACCATCTCCCTGATCGGATGATGGAGCCAGAAGCTAATTAGTGGAACTGTTCAATGGTCACTAACCATTTTTAGGTCGAATTTGGACTCATTATATTTTTGACGAGCCCTATAAGTAACAGTTGGTCTATAAAGTGTTTTGATAGTTATGTTAAAACATTTCATGAAACTACATTTTCTAACGCAGTTTTATTTTATAGTACCTGGGCGAACAAGATAGGCTTGCTTTTTGGCCAAAAGTACAAACTAAAAACTTGAATAAATACACAAAAAAAAACAAGAGTAAAAACTTTGTATCCGACCGGAATTCGAACCCCGACAGCTGTGATCCATGTGACCATATCTTGCGTGGAATAATGCAAAAGAAAATCGCATGAAAACTCGAAAACACGCGTTTTCTCAGACATAAAACTAATCTAGATCGATTTTTCGCTCCCACCCCCACATACCAAATTTCAGTGAAATTGTTAGAGCCATTTCCGAGATCGTCGGTATAAATAAATATACAAGAATTGCCCGTTTAAGTATATTAATATTTTATTTCCGACGTTTTGAATGATTTACAGTGCACATGGTCACGAGAGAGACTAAGATTTTAGACGTCTCAAAGGCTTACAGACGGTATCTGCCCGCAAAATTATTTTTTTGTCCGCGACACTACACGTTGTGCGTGCGTCCATAAACAAATTCGTTGAATCGTTACAGCATCATATAAAAACTTACATTCAATTTTTAGCATTTATAATATTTAATATTTCTTAGTCTCATCTCGATAAAATTAATATTAATCAACTCGAATACTTTTTATGTTAATTTGATCAAAACACTTACCGCCAAGAGGGAAAAACTGCGAGAAGATGTTCTTGAAGGCCTCTTCATCCACCACTCCTGTCGGACACTCCTGGAATTAAAAATCAAGGAGATCCACTTTACTTTAAGCTTTTCATAAAATAAAATCAGATAAGTGCGAGTCTGATTTATTTGTTCCTGCACCGAGTGTTCTTTAGCTATAATTTAACTGTTAGTTCCAGGGCGACCGAATTTCGATTTTTTTATTGTTTTTTTTTTGGAACAGATACAAATAGTGCATTTTTTTCCGAAAAGGCACCTTTATAGATATATAATCTTAAAACAAAACCTTATCTAAATACAAGATTTGATCCAATGTTAGAGCCGTTTTCGAGATACACGAAATAAGACATAAATATATTATAAAAGAATTTCTTTACATATTTTTTTCAAAATAGGATACGATAATTACTATTTACTGTTTCTTTTAATAATACAGGACTTATCTTTGAGTAACTTATTTAATAAATTATCTTATTTTTCTTCCAAAAACAAAGTCCAGTGGAAAGTAATAATGGGATTTTAAACGGACACTTACATTTCGAGGGTTAAAAGGCTATCAAGTGAGAGCCTCTCGAGGCACTTGCGAAAATGTACTTCATGTTTTATGAAACATAGAAAATTGTATTTATATTACAAATAGTGAAACACTATTAAATGAGTGGTGGAAATGGTATTTTAGCTGTTATTTTATTTATTTGAATTCAACCCCTTCTTAATATCCCACATTCGGGGGTGGGCCTCTTGTTAATGCGAGGGGTGTCAGGCCATAATCCACCACCCTGGCCAAGTTTTTGAAAACTTGCTAGGTTCTCTCAGACGTCTAGGTTTCCTCACGATGTTTTCCTTCAGCAGAAACAAGTTTAAATCATGTTGAAACGCACATGAGAATATCAGGATACCAATATTTGAACCTGCTTTACTTAGTCTTCAAAGCAAGTGCATTACCACTGGGCACAGCCTTGCCTTTATATAAATTCACGCTTGGGAAACTCTTAACGAGTAGAAATAAAAAGTACCTAGTCTTTATCCTTTTTCACACTGCAGGCTGCGAGTGTTGGGATCGATTTTGCTATTTTTCCCCTGCATTTAGCCTTAGATTGTTTCTATGGTAAATAAATAGCAGATAATGAACTGCCTATATCCGTTTACATGGTGTAAATTTAATGTATGATAATTTCTATAGAATACTGCTCAACAGACAGACAGTTACTTTCATATTTAAGATATTGTTAGAAATATAATTGGTGTTGATTGCCAAAAGTTAGTCTAACATTCGATGGATTTAGTTAGTGTGAGTTTGAGCGAGAAATTTAAGCCAAATGAGTGTACAAAGTAATGTTTTTAGAGAAAATTCTATTCTAATTACGAAGTACTTTTTCAAAACATTACCATTTTTTGTTTATGGTTTTCGAAGTAATTCTATAACCAGCGGCAATGCAACCAATACGGTCGCATGGGCCCCCTGATCAAAGGGGACCCCAGCGGGCCACAAGCAATTCTTTAATTTCAAAACATTTTTTCAAAGACATCCCCCATAGAAGTTTAAAAAAACTGCTAGCAATAAGTGTCCTAAATTTCCACATTTTATTTCATAATGGGCAAAGGGAGGCACTTCCATTTTTTTTTTGGATTGGGGCCCTAAAAATGCTTATTGCCACTGTCTATGATAAGAGCTATGTGCTGTTTTAAAATTATGACCGATCGACTTCATAAGGCAGAAAGTACGGATCAGAGAGCTCATACTAAAAAATTATATACACGCACGACAAAAAGATGTTAAAGCCAATTTTTTATTGATTAGCGTGGTTTGCTGTTTATGCTCCTATTCTCGATTTTGCCACACAGATCTTATATTTACTTTAAAGAATAAGGGAAATTTGTATAGGTATTACTCCTTTATTTTTAGTTTTTGAGAAGAAAATCCGTATTATTAATTAAAATTATAAATGTGAAAATTTGTGAGTATGTATGAATGTTTGTTACTCTTTCACGCCAGAACGGCCGAATGGGTCTAGATGTAATTTGGCACAGAGATAGATTATAGTTTGGAATAAGATATAGGCTACTTTTTATCCCGAAAAATGTACGGTTCCCGTGGGATATATTTGTTTTTGTTTTAATGTATGAACATAAAACATGTATTTTTAACCATTAGTTCTCTTCCCCTTAATAAAGATAGCATCATATTAGCTTATGTAATTTTTTCCGCACCATAATAAAATTCCTAAGCTATTTTTATTTATAACCATTTATTCACTAATCACGGCAATGAAATATTCTATTTACATTTGTATACTGTTATAAAACATTATAACATATAGTTTTAAAACATTGTATGTCTTCATGTTTAGTTCTATAACACTCTCTCTCTCTATATTAATCCTTAGTCTGAGTCAGATACGTACGATTTTAGAATACCGCAAGCAAAGGAAAAGACCGGACTCTTATACGAGCAGCTTCTTCAATTCGGTCTGTATGTCATGTAAGTATTATTATTTTTATTAGATAAAATTTGGTATGAAAATATTTTGAGACCGTGGAAAGGACATAGAATAGTTTTTATCTCGATAATAAGGGGGTAGAATTTTTTCAATAATTTAAAGTACTTACCTACTATAGTCTATATCATACTAAACATCAAAGCATACCTATATAGAGACAATTATATTTTAAAGATAAATCCAACAAAACAAAGATTACAAAAATCGGTCTAGCAGTTATAATATATATAAGATGATAAAATAGTCCACAAATTAAGCTAAAATTGTTTTTAAGGTAATTCTTGTTTTTTCTTGTTTACCTGTTTGAAGCCGCGGTACATCAACTTGATCTCATGCTGTGTGAAGTGGGAAGCCCTCGCGAGAGCTTCGGGCGGCTCGGGGCGGTACCGAGCGCCCGGAATCCACACGTTCGAGCCGCTGTCCTCACAGTCGTCTTCTAGAAGAAGAAAGAATACTTTAAATATTACAAGAATGTTCTAGAAAATGTGTATGTGTATTTGGTTACTTCTTTATTCCCATCCGATACGAGCGATATTCGAAATAGAGATCCTGGGCTTTAACAAGATGTTTTTCTACAACATTGTTATTTTTTTTTTAAAGATTATATGAATATCAAGAGTACCTACATGGGACTACCAATATTATAAGACTAATCTACTACTACTACTAGCTTTAAGCGATACATTATTAGATTTAACACGAATATTTGACATTTTAAATAAAACTATCTTATCAGAGAGACTCTCCCGTGGACATGATTGTTATAAACATTCTAAACGTCGGGAACCAAAAATAAAAATAAATCCGCGAAAAAATCCGAAAAGATATTTTTACTTAAAATAGGTGCTTAATTCAAGCTAGTTATTGTGATGAAGATAAAAAAGTATTTTTTTTTTTATTTAGACTAATATGATTTTTGCAAAAATAATTTATGGGGAGGAAATTGACAGGTTATTTGCATGGCAGCCATTTTGAAATTCGCCATCTTAGTTTTTATTATTTATTGTTATAGCGGCAATAGACATACATACATACTCTGTGAAAGTTTCAACTCTACCTATTACAGTTCACGAGATCCAGCCCTCTGACAGACAGACGGGCGGACAGCGGAGGCTTAGTAATAGGGTCCCGTTGGCACAATTAGGGTACGGAAACTTAAAACACAATTTATTTAACTGATTTTCATTATAACCTAACTGATTTACAATGTACAGTCAGGCAGTCAGGCAGACCCTGTATAATAATTATACTCTTTGCAGTCAGTTGAGTTGCAATTGCCATACAAAATGTATAGGAAATCGCGCTTTGACAGCTCATAAAAAGTATGCAATATTGGTTGTGGCCTTTAACCAGTTATATGATGACCTACGTGTGTGGAGCTGCGGGTAAATGCTTAAATAGATAAACGAGTACTTGAAAGAGCAATGTTTACATTAACCCATAGCTATTTGATACGGTTTCGTGGAGTCGACAAACTTTAGGCGATCGGTGTTCAACATGAACAAAAAAAGAAATGGATCCATAATACAGGAAAGATTTGATTTTTGTTCGTTTATACCGAATGAGCTCCGAAACTACTGAACCGATTTAGATGAAATTTGGTAAGAATATAGTTTGAGACCCTGGAAAAAAGATAGGATAGTTTTTATGCCGGAAATCATACCTTAAGGGGGTAAAAATGTACATTAACACACAGCACCATCTAGTTCCATGGTAAGCTACGAGGCATGTGCCTGGGCTGACAGCAGCCTTTGTGTTACTCTAGATTAAAGCCTATATGTGTAATAAATTTGATCTAAATCCAAAGTTTTGCATTAATAATAGTAGTCCTACTATAATAGACGCGAAAGTTTATAAGGTTGTAAGGATGTATGTCTGTTAGTTACTCTTTCAAATGAAAACTACTGAACGGATTTTGATGTAACTTTACAGTAATACAGTTTGTACATTAGAGTAACACATTGGGTATAATTTATAAAGTCATAGTTATACATAAATGATTTACACGTAACACGGGCGGAGTCGCGGGAAAAAGCTAGTCCGTTACACAAAGATATATGCTTGCTGAAGAAGTGGTAGTCCAATGGTAACGCGCTCGCTTGGGAAACCGAAAGAAGCGAGTTCAAATCACAGGTCTTGCACCTCTGATATTTGTATGTGCGAATCATTTCCAATATGATTACCATTTGTTTTCCACGTCGGCGAAGGAAAACATCGCGAGGAAACCTGCATGTCTGAGAGAGCTTAGAAAATTTTGAAAAAATACGTAAAGTCCGCGAACCCGCACTTGGCCAGCGTGGTGGGCTATGGCCTGATCCCCCTCGCATTGAAGGGAGGCCCACCCCCGGCAGTGGGACGCCAAAAGGGCTTGCTTGTATATATATTATATTATAGGTTTTTGCATCAATTTTTCGCAAAAGTTACAGTATACAAGCAAACCAAGGGTAACTAGTAAAAATGAAGGTTTTAAACATCCCACCTCATTTCGTATTCGAGTGGGAAATGACAAAACGTTTGAATGCAGGTTGCGTCGTAGCGAAGTCACGTGACATACATCCGGAATGCAGTAATACATCAATTTTCTGCACCATTACTATTTGAAAGCTTAATTTGAGGGTAGTTTCAAATATCAGACTAAGGAATAATAAAGAATTTCATAGAACTGAACATGAAGCCAAAGAATAACGTTTTAAAATAATATCTATACGTAGTATGTATAATAAAAGTGTAACTGATCGCTGTCCGTACATGGAGGATATTTGAAAAAAACTATTATTGGGGGTCTTTATTAACGCAATAGAACCCAAAACAATGATTTTTTAGAATGTTTGTGCGTTTTTCTGTGCGTTTGTGTGCTCTAATCTCAGAAACCGCTAAACCGATTTAGATGCGGTTTTCATTCTTGTATTGTGGTAAGCTACACTTAATATTTAGTATTTGTTTTATTTCATTCTGTTCATAAATAAAAAAAGTTAGGTGAATTTAAAGAATTACTTAGAAGCGAACCCGAACGAGTGAGTCGCTAGTAGGTACATATTATAAATAAAACTATGTTTTCGGATTTTTACGCGTATTTATTTCGATTGATGAACGTCGAGAACCAAAAATCAAAATGATTCCACGAAACAGTCCGAAAAGGATGTTTTTTTTAAATATCAAATATTCGCTTAAACCTAACAAAATTCTATAACCTAATAAAATTCTGAGACAAATCCGTACATTCAATATTTTTTGGAAAATCTTATTGAAATAGAAATTATTACTGATATAGAGGCCGAATCTATAATTTTTAGAATTCTTGTCAGTTTGTCTGACTGGGAACGCATCACGACAAAACCACTGGACAGATTTTGATGAAATTTAGTATGATGATAGCTGGTTATCCTAACTTTTTTTTTATTAGGTATTCCTTAGGCGAATATTTGATATTTCAAATAAAACATCCTTTTCGGACTGTTTCGTGGAATCATTTTGATTTTTGGTTCTTGACGTTCATCAATCGAAATAAATACGCATAAAAATCCGAAAACATAGTTTTACTACTAGCGACTCACTCGTTCGGGTTCGCTTCTAAGTAATTCTTTAAATTGACCTAACTTTTTTTATTTATGAACAGAATGAAATAAAACAAATACTAAATATTAAGTGTAGCTTACCACAATACAAGAATGAAAACCGCATCTAAATCGGTTAGCGGTTTCTGAGATTAGAGCACACAAACGCACAAACAGTATGATGATAGCTGGTTATTCGGGTCAACATATAGGATACTTTTTAGTGCGGGAAAATATTTCATCTCTGAGAAATGAATACTAAACATTGAAAATACTTGAAATGTATCTAGGGACGAACCCAAGCGGAACGAGGGCGAGACGCTAGTGTTTTATAACAATATACAAATATGAATAGCATACTCATTACTCTGATAAGTAAATAAATATTAATAATAAAGAAAAAAATAAAATAAGCTAATATTATGCTCTCTCTTTCAAGTGAACAAATAATACTTAAAAATACAAAAGAATATGGTATTTTATTTTAATATTCATATTTTATTCTAAAAATTGTATTTTCATTTTGCGAAATCAAGAATGGTAACACAATTAGCAAACCACGCTACCATTTTTGACTTAGTCATTTTTTTTGGCGGGCTCCGTCTGTATAATTGCTTCGTCTGAGTTTCAAAACAATTAAAATATATAGGGCTCAAACGGGAAATGGAAGGTTGATTGTTCTTGGGATATTTAAGTTGAAATCGCGATTCTTTGTTTTGTAAGCACAGGTAAATGGTTTTACTTGGGAAAATTAGCCTTTGTCATAACTTAATAACCTGGCTTTTGCCATAACATAATAATTTTCAGGTATATATATATATATATATATAAACATATATATTATTTAGTCGTCGTCGTCTTAGCCCAAACACGTCCACTGCTGGACATAGGCCTCCCCCAAAGATTTGACTGAACCGATTTGGATGAAATTTACACAGATGACCTGGAGTAACACATAGGCTATAGTTACTAATAAAATTAAGGCAGTGGTAGCCCAGTGGTAACAAGGTCACTTGGGAAACCGAGTGATGCGGATTCAAATCCCGAGTCTCGCAGCTCTGATATTTTCATATGCGAGTCATTTCCAACATGATTACCACTTTCTTACGGTGAAGGAAAAAGTCGTGAGGATAACCTAAATTTTAAAGATATTATGTGAAGTCCGCCAACCCGCACTTGGTCGGCGTGGTGGACTATGATCTAACCCCCTTCAATTTAAAAGGAGGCCCACCCCCAGCAGTGGGACATTAAAAAGGGCTGAATATAGTAATAAAATTTGGCAAAAGATGGTGTTATACGAGTATGTATAAGATATTGTAAATACAGCGAGAGTGTATCTAGTATAGTGTACATAAGTAGGCGCTACCAACCAGAAATATACAAATGTAAGGTAGGTCGTGATGCAAGAGTCCAAAGTGACGCTGAAAGTAAACAAACAGGAGTCAACCCGCGGGTCGCAACGTTTTGTTTACTTTGAGCGATGTATATGAAAGCGGGCTAAAAATACACCCTGAAGTACGCCTCGTTCTCTCAATGTGTTAGTGGTCCAAGTTATAAGAGAGTGAGTAATATTGACAAATTTTTCTTATATTAATATGATCTGTCTAATAACTTAAAAATAAATATTTAAAATTAAAGTGTATTATAAGGTGCTTTAATGCTATTTTTCTATTTCTTTTATATCTTCTATACATATAATAAAATTCTGAGTCAAATCTGTATATTAAATATTTGTTGGAAAATCTTATTGAAATATTCATTATTATCGATACAGACACCGAATCTATAGTTTTTAGGATTTTTGTCTGTCTAGGAACGCATCACGAGACAAGCAGTGGACAGATTTTGATTTGAGAAATATAGTTAATATACTAACTGTCAA